GAAGAATTCTTCCAGACTTATAAATAACTGAGTGGTTCACATAAGAAAGGTTAACCTGGGCTTCTGCAGCTGCCAAGGGTAACTTCTGTTCTGTCACAGTCCTGTCTACTCACCTGCTCTGCCCTGTGATGCCCCCTGGCTGCTCACACCCCACCCTGGCATGCACTGTTGTGTGCCAGGCACTGCGTGCTGTTCCATGCTTAGGAGTGTGGAAGGAAGGACTTTAAAATTACCTTAAAAATGAAAATGCAGGAAGGAACGAGCAAAAAGTACTTGGACCTTGTAAGACCAAGTATATATGAGTACAAGTATTGCAGGGTGTTGCTACCAAGATTTTAACTGCAAGTTCCATTATGGAAAATCTTATCTACAGCGGGTATTATCAAGGGGCGCCAATAAGTGAGTGAGGCCATTCATTACAATGTTGTCTGTAATAGCACAACCATAAACCTTGGTATATGTGATTGTTATAGGTGCTAGATACAGCCAAAGAATGAAATAGATTTGGCGTTACTTTTTCTAAAAGCATATCACCAACAATATGAATAATATGATCTTACCCCTTGTATCTCCCTTGCATAGTTAATATTTAATATTAACAGAATAGTTACATAACTGTCTGAGCACAGAAATTTAACAGTTTTATTACTGAAGAGAAATTGGCAGACCAGTGGAGGGTGGACTTTGTCTTTTTCAAATACTCTTTTTGTGTGCATGTATCATTGTACCAAATAGAAAAATTTCTTGTAAAACAGATTTTGAAGTAGAGAAGTATTAGCGTTATAGTCACATATTTCTGAGTCTCATCTGAGCAGGAAACCCTCAGTATCTCGCCCACAGCAGAGCCTGGCAAGCTCTCCGTGATGTATTCGATATGCCAGACACAGTAACAACAAAGTCTCCAATGGAGATGTTACTGGGCCCGCTCGAGCAAATCGATGATCAACGGGAGGGACTTTACTTTACTTACTTACCCTTTTCTACAAAATCCATGCACAGCAAAAAACACAAGTCCTGGGGGCTAGAGAGAAAATACAGTGGGAACGATGCTTGCCTTGCATGTAACCCGCCCAGATTCAATCCCTGGCATCCCACATGGTCCTCTGAGCACTGCCTGGAGTAATTCCTGAGTGCAGAGCCAGGAGTTACTCCTGAGCATCACTGGGTATACCAGGAAACAAAATATATGTGTGTGTATATACACACACATACATATATAATGGTTGCTTAGGGCTTATTCATGACTCTATGCTCAGGGATCACTTCTGGCACTGCTTGGGGACTCTAGTTCAAGATGGGGGATTGAGCACTTTACCCACTGTACTATCTCTTTAGCCCTAAGAGTGAATTGATTACAGCTAGATATCTTCCAGGACCCTCTTACAAAGAAGTGCATGCAAAGAGAGAAGACATTAAAGTCTTTGGCATTCTGAGGGACAAAAGCAGTTCAAACCTCTCACTGAATGGCAGGGCTGGAACCTTTCAGAACACACGTGACACTAATAACAGAGATGAAGATAATTCATGTAACAGCCGCTCACATCTGAACAGGTCCAAGGAAATGCTTTTATCTCTTGTGGGGAAGTGTCGCAACTGAGAGGCTCCAGCCCCCAGTTCCCGAGAACTCCAGTTTATTTGATTTGGTTATCTCGGGCAGCGGGTGGCTAAGAGGCAGAGGGACGAAGCCTGTAAGAGGGTCTCCCTCGTCCTGCAGCTGGCGTCATGTTCAACATATTTCAGCTGTGTGGAAACTCCACCATGTTCAATGGCTGTACAAAGGCTCCACATTCCCCTCTGAAAAACTCCCAGATCTATGGAGGCTCCGGTGACTAGGGGGAATGCAGGACGCCGTCTGCTTCCCAGAAGCACAGACTACGCATTCTGGGGGCCAAGGGGAGAGGGCACCTGCATTCAGTTTCAGACATGAGGCTACTGTCCAGAGACTTTGACTGTTCTGGCCACTCTGCCGCCGCTGCCCCCCACCCCACCCCCCAGGAAAGCCATGCTGGACTTTTGCTTAGGTTTCAGTCTGTGGTCAAGGGGCTGCGGCCTGCCCGTGCCTGTGCTGGGTGGCCCCGGGTACTCGCGAGTCTGCCCCCTACGCCAGTGGCCCGACCACATTCAGAGATCTGGGCTTCCTGCCCAGCCTCCCTCCAGAGACACAAAGGGGGAGGACAGATAGGTTCCTGGGGGTCTGGAAAGCATCTCTCCACCTCCCACCTGTTGAATGCTGTGTGTTGGTGAGAGGACCAGCCCTGAGTCCACCCCGCCAAATCCTGCGCGGCACCTGTCCCCCAGATGGCAGCACTGGCCAGCAGTCTCTGTGGTTTTAGCCTGTGCCTCCCATCCTGGGCACTCTGCCTTTCAGATGGCGTTAGTGGGAGTCATTTATCCCACAGTGATGTTTCATAAGCTGATGAGGACTGAAGGGGGAAGCACCAGAAGAAAGCTGGATTTCTGACATAATTATTAGCCTTGGGGAGGGCGTTTGCCTTGCACGTGGCCGACCTGGGTTTGATCCCTGGCATCCCATATGGTCCCCTGAGCACCACCAGGAGTAATTCCTGAACGCAGAGCCAGGAGTAACCCCTGAGCATTTCTGGGTGTGACCCCCCTCCAAAAAAAAGAAATATATATATATATTAGCCTATATCTGTCTGGTTGGTGAACTTTATTGCCAATAATTGTCCTCGGAAGAACCTATGTTGAGGTGTGAGCGACCAGTTCTGTTTCATATGAACTCATACCATAGCTGGGTTGAACAGTGACCAGAAGAGGCCGTGAACCTGAACTTCTCCTTAAGGGGCTGTGCCTCATTCAGGACAGAGTGGCCAGGACTGCCCGCCTCTTAGTGGGAGGAACAGGACCTCAGCCTGGTAAGCAGCAGCCTTACCCATGTGATGAGATCCCTTCAAGTCAATCTCCTCTCCTGTTCATGTTTTCCCAATGCCTTTGCTTCGGGACAGACCTGCCTGTCCCATCTTCCATGCCGTGTGTGTGTGTGTGTGTGTGTGTGTGTGTGTGTGTGTGTGTGTGTGTCTGCACCTTTCATTTGCCACCACACACCTGGTAGCAAGGCTGCTGAACTGAGGCCCACCCCACAGCTCCAAGTAATCCCATGAGTGTAACCTCCTGCCTCCAGAGAATAGACGGTGATGGGACTATTCACTAGGAAGATTATCCTCCTACCTCCAGGCACTATGATTTAGGATGGGTTTTTTGTCTGTCTTGCCACACAGAAAATAAGGTCACAAGCACAAAGGCTTTGGTCTTCCTCGCCCTTGGCCACGGGGCTGTGCATTCACTGTGTTCTCTGCCAGGCAGCTCTCGGTGGCTGTGCTTTCTCCCCACACAGCGCCCAGAGCCATGCTTTCAGGACCTGGCGCTGTCGTCATCACTGTTGGTTTGCACGTCAGGTCGCTGCAAGTGTGTCCATCAGTCCTAGACACCGTCGCCCAAACAACACGTGCCGCATCCACTGCATTTGTCGCACGAGTTCCGGTGCTTTTTTCCTGTCTGTTTTCCACCAAAGGAGAGGGACGCTGCTGTCTGTTCTGCTTCTTTCTCAGGACTCACTCCCCAGAAGAGAGCAAGCACCTGCTGCCAGAGGCCGGGCCGTGGGCATGGACCACCGCGCCCGGAGTGTCAGCCTTGAGAAGGATTTGGCTTGGTTTACCTGACATTCAATTCTAAATTTCCCAACTGGACTGTTATTTCAGACCATGGATGAAAACCAGTTAGAGTTAATAAGAGTCTACTGAGGGGCTGCCAGGATGCTTAAAAATAAATAAATAAAATGAAAGAGTCAGGAGATTGTCCTGACCCTTTTCTCCTTCAGTATTCCTTCCCTTGGGATTTTGCCTCCTGAATATGACCATCGTCATGTCAGCATGTGTTCACCTGAGCCTTCATAGGAGAGTGTGTGGGATTTGGATGCTTTCCTGGGTTATTTTTGTTGCTAGTGTCATAGGAGCACACTATCTTCAATGAACTGTAGCTTATCAGGGATGTGATCTTCATGTTAGAACCAATTGACTCAATATCTGGAGGCCCTAGTGACAGTATGGTGGGTCAGGCGCTTTGCCTGGCATGTGGCTGACCCGGGTTCCATCCTCATATGGTTCCCCAAGTCTGCCTGAAGTGATCCCTAAATGCAGAGCCAGGAGTATGTCCTGAGCAACACTGGGTGTGACCCCAAAACAAAACAAAACAAAAAATTAAGTGAGAAGCACATGCACATAAAATTTCAAAATTAAAATATTCTTTCATTTTGTGTAATAGAACCTAGTGATTCTATTAGCATTTAGCTAAATGGGTTATCAGTGAAGCTTTGGGGTTCTGTGGCCCCCAAAAGAAGAAGGAAAAAAAGATTTAATATGACTGACATTTCTATCTACTTGTAAACAATTCTCTCTACTGTTTTACAATCTGAACTCTTTGAAATTTCTCTAGGATTGTGCTCAGCTAGGACAGGGCAGAAGCAAGTAAGACCCTTCATATAAGTATGTGTTTCCATAAATGCTTTTCTACTGCTAAAAAAAAAAATAAGGATATCGAGGAATTTCGCGCTTTATTTTATTTTTAGTGAACCAAGATAAGAGTTTTAGATAGTTTTTATTGAACAGAATTTACTTAGATGTGAGGCAGAAAAAGAGAAGAATTACGCATTCAAGAGAGAACACGGGCTTCGGAGAACAAGCCTTACATTTTATTCCTACATTTTATTCCTCACATTTTATTCTTTAAATATCAGTGTATAAGCTAAGTATTGTATTTACTGAATATTTTGTGATTATATTTAAACAACAAATATTTAACTTAATTCATTAAGTCATAACTTAACAAAAAAATATGACAAGTCAACCTTAGAGTTTGCCAGACAGGCAGAAATCACAGTATCGCTCTCTCTGAGTTGGACGCAGCAGAGTTGGATGGTGTGGGGATGAGGAGTTGGAGCATACAGTTCTTAGTGACTCTGTGGCGGTTCTCTCCTTTCACAGTGCTCCAGCTGAGGCTGCAACAGAGGAGGACCAGAGAGCAACTAGTGGACCAGGGCATCATGCCACGTAAGTGTCAAGTGTTGTGTCTTCTCTCCCGGGATAAGCAAGATGGGCATGTCGGGGGAGTGCTCAGGCCTCTCTCTGTCGTGTTCGTTCAGTCACTCCACAGTTAGCACAGGAGAATCGAAGGAAGGACTAAGCACCCCCACTGCCAGCCTGAGGGGCCCTGTGGCCCCTGCTGAAACCCTGGCGCAGTGTCACAGGTGGCCAAGAGCTTGAGATTACACAAAGAATGCCTGAAAAACGACCATTAGGCTGGGCCAGAGCAACAGTCCAGCAGGTAGAGTGCTTGCCTTGCATGAACCAACCTGGGGTCCATCCCCGGGACCCCATGTGGTCCCCCAGGTCCACCAGGAGTGACCCCTGAACTCAGAGACAGGGGTGAGCCCGGAGCACTGCCAGGTATGACCGCCAAACAAAACAAAACAAAAAATTGTAACTTGGCTAACACCAGTTTTCACTTCAGAAGTCAACAATATTTTCAGTCTTTAAATAACTGTGCACCCCACTAATGGGTCCAATTCACTTTGACGTCATAAGGTAACAAAGTTAATTCAAAATCTTGGATTTTTTATTAATTTATGAATTATCTCTGATGCACATATGGGCCACATAAGTATATGTTAAACCCACGGTTATTAAGCATTTTATTTAAACAAGATTTTTCTTGCCCAACTATGGCTATTTCCTAAGTATTCCAGGTCTACTTTCATTTTTGAGAGTTGATTGAGCTTAAAGTATTTGTCCAAGTTTTCTTCTTTAACATTAACCACCCTATTTGGAGGTGACTTCAGATTTCAGGGGGAAAGTGTTTCAGGTGTTAAGTTTCTTTGCAGGAATGTCTTAGGAGAGAAAATAAAGACTTCCTCCACGAAGTAACATCAAACTTGAAAAAGCTAGAAGGGAGTCGGAGAGACAGGACAGAGGTAAAGCGCCTGCCTGCGTCTGGCAGACCCTCGTTCAGCCCCTGGCACTATTGGGAGCAAAGCCTGAGCTGGGAGTAGCCCCCAAGCACTGCCAGGCGTGACCCCAAGATCAAATTTTAAATTAAACCCTAGAGGGGAGTTATAGATTGCATATATGCTCCCCAGTCTTCTGCAGCACTGATAAAGCCCCTTTTTGATTTATGATAAGCAATGGTTTACTCATGCGAGATAGTTTCCCAGTAAACTTCCTTTGGACTAGCATTGATTTTCTATATATTTTGAATCTGTCTTTGTGATCAGAAAAAGAAAGCTGGCTGGATAATCTTCCAGGTTTTTCCCCCACCTCATTCCTGGCTGTGGCCCAATCAATCAAACAGGATTAAATTCGGGTGATTAAGACACCACTGCTAGGCCAGCCCAAGTTCACTTTTGGGAGCTGGTCCCTGGCCTATTTGAGCTGACTCCTGGGAGCTTTTGCACTGCTTCAAGTACCAGAACTGAAAATTGAGCAGATTGGTCAAGTATTGGGGGTGACAGCCAGCCTGAACAAGCTGAGTCCCCCCATCCACCCGCACATCTGATGACCCTAGTAGGCACAGGATGTTAGCAGACAGTGGTGGACACACACACACACACACACACACACAGCATCCCATATGGTCCCCCAAGCACTGCCAGGAGTAATTCCTGAGTGCAGAGCCAGGAATAACCCCTGAGCATAGCCAGGTTTAACCCAAAAAGCCAAAAAACAAAGACCAAAAAAAAACCCTGCTGGTCTTCACTCCAGATTTGTAATACTTCATGTGCCAGTAGTTAATATATTAGAGAATCACTGTATCTGAAGGTGAGTTACATTATGGTATGGTCAAAAGACCGTGAGCTTTTCATATTCTAACTTCTAGATTTAAATCCAAATTCCATCACCATCTAGCTGCATATGACTTCCAGAATTCATTTAACCTCTTGAGCCTTTCCTCCGGTCTGGGGCTATGAAAATGGTGGTGCTGATCCACAGTAACTGGTAGATTCTCAGGAAGTGGTGGCTCAGGGCCGTCCGGAGTGCATGGTCCTTGCATTCAAGGTTAGAGCACCGCCAGGACATTCCCTCCAATGACTCTCATATCCCTGAAAGGCTCAGATGTGTCTTGGAGGTCCCTGCTCTTCTCTTGCTTGGAAGGGGAGGTTTGCCCCAACTGGTTGGAACCAGTCTGACCTGAAAATCACATTGTCATTATGTATTCAGCTCTCCTTAAATGTTGTTTTCTTTGTGAAATACACTAACATTTAAGGGTCCAAAATTTGCAGATATCCTAAAGAAACTGGTAAATAAATGTAACTATAGACATGAACTAGTAAAGAGAAGATTGACTCCCACTTTTACTGTGGAAATTATTTCCTTTTCCCGGGGCTGGAGCGGGTAGGGCGTTTGCCTTGCACGCAGCCGACCCGGGTTCGATTCCCAGCATCCCCTGAGCACCGCCAGGGGTAATTCCTGAGTGCAGAGCCAGGAGTAACCCCTGAGCATCTCTGGATGTGACCCAAATAGCAAAATATATATATATATATACATATATATTTCCTTTTTCTTCACAGCTTTGAAGAGCCCAGCGGCGTTCCATGAGCAGATAAAAAGCTTGGAAAGAGCCAGAGTAAGAAATTTCCATTTGAAATATCCTAATTTCTCTTTTATTTTCCAGTTGTTGACAAGTTGACAAGTCTTACTCCTAATATGTCATAAGGGGAGAAATTGAGTATTTTCAGGATACCTGATATGCAGAGTTATATATTCTCAAGTAGTTTGGGGAGTTTGTAGAAAAAAACAGTAACTAAATAAACAAACAAAAAAAACTTAAAAAAAGGAAAAACAGCAATTAGTTTTGTATATAAAACCAAATCACATTGGCTTACATGCTTCTGGGGTGCATCTGTTTTTCTAGTAATTCTGGATTAATCCTGCTGTGATACCCCAGTTTACCAGGTGACTTACTGGTTCCACATCCTTTGGCTGTTCCCTCCTGTGTCTGTGTCACCTGTACATAGGTCTAAGTGAGACTGGCTGAATTAGAAACTGTTGTTAATCCCATTTTGGTTTGTCCATTGACCTAAGTCCTTTACAGTTGGATATAAATTGAGGTTTTTTTTAATTACCAATATGCACATTTATTTCTTTTGTTCTCAGAAAAACTTTTGCTATGTAGTGTGAAAATGCATGTTCCCTGGAGTTCTTAAGAATTTTCCCTTGAGGGGCCTGAAGTGATAGCACAGCAGGGAGGGCGTTTACCTTGCAACCTGGCCAACCTGGGTTCAATTCCCAGCATTTCATATGGTCCTTTGAGCACCACCAGGGATAATTCGTGAGTGCAGAGCCAGGAGGAACCCCTGAGCATCGCTGGGTGTGACCCAAAAAGCAAAAAAAAAAAAAAAAAAAATTTCTTGAACTAGTGATTTAAAACCTATTTTTTATTACTTAACCTGAGGTGTAAATTTTATTGACTTTAGATATTTACGGTCACGGTCACGGTCCTCCCGTTGTTCATTGATTTGCTCGAGCGGGCCCAGTAACGTCTCCATTGGAGACTTTGTTGTTACTGTGTCTGGCATATCGAATACTCTCTCAGTAGCTTGCCGGGCTCTCCGAGAGGGGCGGAGGAATCGAACTTGGGTCGGCCATGTTGGCTGCGTGCAAGGCAAACGCCCTACCGCTGTGCTATCACTCCAGCATTAGATATTTAAATGATTTCAATCATTTAGATATTTATTGATTGAAATCTTGTGTTTGTTCAAAAACCATCTTCAAATTAAGAGCCTTTAACTTTTACAAGTTTGTATTTTTGTGGTAGCAGGGATCAAACCCACAGCATCACACAGGTAAAACAGGTGCTATGCTACTGAGCTCTGTCCCCAACATAATTCGGCCAGTTTTCAGAGTCTACAGAGTCCTTAATTTATTACAGCATTGACTTAAAATCCCCATACAATTTTGGAATTTGTATCCTGATTTCTGTTCTGTTCTTCCATTAAAAAAATTAAATTATGACAAAACAGCGTACGATTTACATCAATGAAACACAATGAGGAAAAAAATGTAAAGCTACAATAAAGTATAAACAGCTCATGGTTAAGATTTTTTTTTTTAGACTGAAAACTTCTTGAAGCACAAGATTCGGAGCCGGCCAGATCGTTCTGAACTTGTCAGGATGCACATTTTGGAAGGTAAAGATTTTACTTCTGCATGTCCCAGCATTTTCTTAAGAAAAGCAAGTATTCCATCATTTCTGTTTATTCCCATTTTAATAACCTTTTACCCCACAGGCTGACATCCTCCAAATTGGAGAACAACATGAAGATCCAAAGCTAAAAATGCTATGTTAGATTCTTGGGAAAGATTGGGTTCTACAAATAACTGATGAACTGACTCTTCTCCATCACCTGGTCTCATTAGGTGTCCATCTCTAATGATGTAATCTAGAGAAACATTTTCAGTTCAGGGAAGTTTTTTCATAAGTGGCGTTTTGTGCCTGCTCATCAAGTCAGAAAGGGTATAGCAGCTGCCATCTAATCTACCTTTCCAGCTGAGAGGGCCATGCGTATATATGTGCCCACCCAGTACAGTGCCCACACATTTGCTCTCTGTTGCTGCTTGACCATGGCACTCCAGCTGGATCTAAACATTATCATGAACACAGAGCCTGAAGTGTCTGGATGATGTAACTCATCCTTAGGCAGCTGGTAGGAACAGTCCCATTCCATCTTTGGTGAGACAGGAGATGCGGGTCAAGATGTTACTCTCTCTAAAGACAGAGTGTTCTTAAAAAATGATACCGCCACCATAAATACCAAGTTACATTTTCTTGGTTTGTTTTGCTTCTCTGTCAAATTTATAGATAAGACCAGGAGCTTGACCCCATTAGAGTCTTAATTGCATTAAACCTGAAGAAGTTACAGAAAGACTCTGGGAATTTCTCAGATACTTAGTTTGGACAGTTATTAACTTGTTCTCTCTGGCCTAATGATAGTGTTAGAATTAGGTTGGTACTGCAGATTATTAGAGATACATTCTATATATAAAAAAGATTGAATCTCTATATAAAAGGCCAGACATGCCCACTAAGAGTCTTCAGGACAAAATAGTGTTGCCCTTATTTAGACATGCTGTTCCGTGGCCAGTATCCTGAACACCAGAATCCCAACAGGTGAACTACACTGAATGCCGCCTTCACGGAGCTTCCATTCTAATGGCGAGTCAGATAAACAGAAGGAAAAAGCAGGTTAGATTCTGAAAAGTACACTCGGGAATCCGTAGGCTGCTGAGGCAGTGATGACGAAGTTCTACGTATCCTGCTCGCCTCTAACCCAAGTAGGGTCTCCTCTGTTCCAAAGCATCTGTGCCTAAGGGACTGCCTTCACGTTTCTGGGTGAGGAGGGAGAGTCTATGCCTTTCTCTACTTAGGATGTAGCCCACTGGATTAAAAAAGCCTTTCCAGAACTCAGTGGTAGGGTAGGAGCCTCGGCCAGCTCTCAGGGATAAGCAGCAGTAAGGAAGGGATAAAGAATCTTCAAAGAAGCAAGTTGACTGGTAAGTAACTGGGTAAATGACTCCTTCTCACCTGAGAAATCTTGCCCTATAAGGGACATTTTTGCAGGAACAGTGCTATCAGTTTCAACTTGGCCTCTAACCGGAACAGGCTTTATTAGCAAAATTTAAAGCAAGGCAAAAGACAGTGAACTGGGGCTGGAGCAATAGCACAGCGGATAGGGCATTTGCCTTGCATGCGGCCAACCCAGGTTCGATTCCCAGCATCCCATATGGTCCCCTGAGTACCGCCAGGGGTAATTCCTGAGTCGAGAGCCAGGAGTGACCCCTGTGCATCGCTGGGTATGGCCCAAAAAGCCAAAAAAAAAAATTTAAAAGATTTAAAAAGACCGTGAACTATCAAAAGAAATTTATTTGGATTTGGGGTTTTCTGTTTTTATGCCACACCTGTGGTGCTCAGGGATCTAATCCGGGTACGCCACACCTGTGGTGCTCAGGGATCTAATCCGGGGCTCCCATCTGTAAAGTTTGCGTCTAACCATTGAGATACCTCTCTGGCCCTAATTTGCTTTTATTTTTATTTTAAAGCAACTTCTCACAATACTTAAAAGCCTAACAACCATGTATATGTATGAATCATAAGTGTTATTTTTAGGATATCTATCCTCATGGATTTATGAAGTAAGAAAGAATGTGTCATCCATAATTTTAAATACTTTAAAAATTATTCCCCAACTTACTTTAACATTATCCCAATTCTATTTGAATCACATGTTTGTCAGACGGTCACGGTCACAGTCCTCCCGTTGTTCATTGATTTGCTCGAGCCGGCCCAGTAACGTCTCCATCGTGAGACTTGTTGTTACTGTGTTTGGCATATCGAATACATCATGGGTGGCTTGCCAGGCTCTGCCGTGCGGGCGAGATACTCTCGGTAGTTTGCCGGGCTCTCCGAGAGGGGTGGAGGAATCGAACTCGGGTCGGCCATGTTGGCCGCTTGTAAGGCAAACGCCCTACCGCTGTGCTATCGCTTTGTCAGACAAATCCTTAAATTAATTTTTTGGAAAATCCAGCCTCAGTCTCACAAAGATGAGGCAGTCAGAAGACTAGAAACAGAAATATATGTAAAGAGTCAGATTCTAATTATTTATTCTTGAAATTTTTGCCTTCCAAATCTGTCCCTGAGCTCACTTGTATTAATAGGATGAAGAAGGCAGGCAGAGGACCATCCTGCTACATCAGCCCAGAAGGGATTCACATGATTCCCCTGTCATTCCCTGTCGTCTTCCTGTGTTTTATTTGACAAGATTGACTTTACTGTTGTTCATACAGGGAGATTATAAAAATGAAAGGGGGACATATTCTGCCTTCTAGAAAAAGGTACTTATTTGCCATTATTCCATTCTAGAGCGATGATACTCACCTGGGGAAGGCTTTCACCGATGGAATTCGCCCCATCATTATTTGCGTAAAGCACAGTATATCATCTTGAGAGTGTTATTTATTGATATTTATGGTACTGGGGATCAAACCCAGGGCCTCTCACATTCTGCTGAGCCACACCCCAGCCCTTCACAATATTTTTCGGTGACTCATTTTATCGAATCTTTTCAGAATTATTTAACACAGACTTAAAAGGAATAATTTGTGGGCTGGCAAGAGAATGCAGGGTTAGGGCACTTGCCTTGCATATTGCCAATCCCAGTTCAATCCCCATCAGGACATGGTGCAACTGTGGATCAAGCCACCACCCCCCCAAAAAAAATGAAATGACCTCAGGGCCAGTGGGATAATACTTGAGATAGGGCACTTGCCCTGCACATGGATGACCCAGGCTTAATCCCCACAATACATATGATCTCCCAAGCCCACCAGGAGTGATTCCTGCAGGCAGAGCCAGGATAAGTCTTGAGCACTGCCAGAGTTGCCCCAAACCAAAAATGAAAAGAGAAATAGTTTGATTTTTTTTTTACATTATCACCCTTTTTTTTTCATTATCATCCTTAACACCTGGTTAAACTGTGTATTGAAAAGAACAATTGCAGTAGTTGAAAACTATTCTGTGGACCCTCATGGCTGACTCCCATGGTAGAAGAAACAGATGCGCTAGAGGGTAGCTCACAGCTCTGGACTCTGGGTAGGCTCTATACCTCCGCCAGGACCTTTCACCTCCAGAAGGAAGAGCTCTGGAGTTCCTTGGGGGCGGGGGGAGGATTTCTGCTCAGAATTTTGGTTTGATACCCTTCACAAGAGTGAAATGGGAGAGCTGGTAGAAGCACAAGTAATTGGCAGGAAAAAACAGATGAATGAGCGACGATACTCAGAGTATCGCATCTGTTGTGCAACTGTGATCATTTATAAATAAATGTGTGGATCTTCCTAGTGACTGTGCAGATGAATGTACCTGATACCTAGTGATACATTTAGACATAGACCCAAATTCTTACTTATGATGATTGAAGCTGAGACACTCAGGGATCAATCCAAGAATGTAATTTGTAGCTCCTCCCACTGACTACCGCAGTTGACCTCTGGGTCCATTATACAGACAGGAAGTGACTGTCCAATGAAACCAAGATTAAGACTGGAATCTTCCTCAGCTGCGACTCTGCCTTGTTCAGTCTTCATATGCCCAGTATTAATAAACATGACTCTGGCCCGGAGTTATAGGACAGCAGGTAGGGCATTTACCTCGCATGCGGTCGACCCGGGTTCAATCCCCAGCATCCCTGAGCACCTCCAGGAGTGATTCCTGAGTGCAGAGCCAGGAGTAACCCCTGAGCATTGCTGGGTGTGATCCAAAAAGCCAAAAACATAAAATTAAATTTAAAAAAAAACATGACTGACACTTATGGTAAAGTGGACAGCTGTTGCAGGAACAATAGCTCTTCTCCCTTTGTGGAACTGAGGACCAAACTTGGGGCTAATTTATGAGAAGCTTGTGCTCTACCACCAAGCTGCATCCTCTGCCCCAGAAAGCCCATACTGCCCGTGTCCCTGGGGCATCCTTATCACACAGACAATATTAAGTTATCCAGAATCAAAAAACATCATGTGTACTGCGATATTCTTAAGTAATCATTTTATTTTCTTGTACATGTGCTGAGAACACATAAATCGGTTCACCTACTTTAGGTATTGGCTGAAGTGGCATTCTGGAATAGAAGTATGCGTTCAAGTAATGGTTAAAACTGTGCTTCCTCTTTTAGAGACATTTGCAGAGCCATCCCTGCAGGCTACCCAGATGAAGTTGAAGAGGGCTCGGCTAGCTGATGATCTGAACGAAAAGATTGCCCAAAGACCTGGTCCCATGGAGCTGGTGGAGAAGAACATCCTGCCTGTGGACTCCAGTGTTAAGGAAGCGATTATAGGCAAGCGTCCATTTCACTGTGTTCTGGGAGAAGAAACTCGGACATCATAGATAAAACAGTTTTTTTGTTTTGTTTTGTTTTGTTTTGCTTTTTGGGTCACACCCGGCAATTCACAGGGGTTACTCCTGGCTCTGCTCTCAGGAATTACACCTGGCGCTACTCGGGGGACCATATGGAATGTTGGGGATCAAACCTGGGTCGGCCATGTGCAAGGCAAACACCCTACTGGCTATACTATAGTTTCAGCCCCCAGATGAAACAGTTTTAAAAGAGCCAACATCAGTCTGCTGTCTCAGTAAATTGACAGTCTGTTCATACCTGTCCTAATCCCCACTGTAGCGGTCTTCCTCTTGAGACCAGAGTTCTTACCAGGTAGCCAGGATTCTTCTTGTTATGGCCGAGCCACTCTCATAGTCTCATGGCTTGACGGGATCACGTTTTGTCTGTTGTTCTGCTTATGTTTTTGTTGACTTTGTGTTGATTCTCTTTACTTCCTGGAATGATAAAGATCAATCACGTGTGAGATGTTAGTTCAGCAAGGTGAATGGCAGCTGAGTCCAGAGGGGGCACTCATAAGGTTCTGTCTGTCCATCTTGTCTCCGTCTCATGCAGCAAGCACATCTGAAACGTTGATATCTTGCTTTACCGCCAGGGATGGGTCTGACACCCCCACCTCCAACCCTGAACAATGCAGGGTCCCCTGAGCAGTGCCAGGTGGAGCCCCCAAGAAAAACAAACCAAAAATTCCTACTTTAAAAATGCTTGACTGGGCCGGAGCGATAGTGCAGCGGGGAGGGCTGGCTTTTGTCTTGCACACGGCCAACCTGGGTTCGATCCCGGCATCCCATAGGGTCCCCCAAGCACCACCAGGAGTGATTCCTGAGTGCAGAGCCAGGAGGAACCCCTGAGCATTGCCGGGTGTGACCCAAAAAGCAAAACAAACAAAAAATGCTTTACTGGGACCAGAGGATAGCTCAGTGCTCTGCATGCAGAGTCAGGGTTTGATCCCCAAACCATTGACTCCCCAAGCACTGCCAGGAACTACCCACCCCCACCCCAAGCACTGAGCCAGAAATAGCCCATGAACTTCACTGGATATGACCCCAAAACCAAATTTTAAAAAAATTGTTGTCCATTATTCATGGTGACATCCCTTTTTGCATTAGTTGAGAGTTTAAACCTTAGGCCATTTGTCCTCAACCATCCTAAACAGCACAGTCACCCATGCTTCCATTCACTCTCCAAGAGCCAGGCCCCAAAATGCCAGGCGTTGGGAGGAGCCCCGATGCCCAGGGCAGAGTTCCATTTGCCCCCTGCCTCGCAGATTCCAAAGCAGGATCCAGACGGGTGTACTTGTTGCCTTTGGCCTCTGCGTCTCCTAAATTGTCTTGTCTTGCCTGGGTCCCTCTCCTTCCTTCCGCACCTTTATCTGGTGATGAATGGGCTCGTTCTGTCCTCAAGCATTTCCACACTTTGAGCTCAGTGCATTTGCATCCCAGGTGTCCTTCCAAGCATTCTTGTCTCCCAAACTTCCTGTCACTGGCACATGGATCCAAAGGCTTTATCTGATTCAGATTTGATTTTGTTTCTCCTTCAAGCATTCTTCTTAAGTGATATGTTCTTCCATTGGGAAGTACATTATGTTCCTTTATAAAAAAAAAAAAAAGAACAGCCTTTTCATTTTAAGGTTGGTATACTGAGGCCAAAATAAACTAAGGATCATTTCTGTCCTCAGGCGCTGGGAAGGAGGACTACCCACAAACTCAGGGCGATTTCTCATTTGACGAAGACAGCAGTGACGCTCTGTCCCCAGACCAGCCTGCCAGCCAGGAGTCCCAGGGGTCAGCGGTGTCCCCCAGTGAGCCAAAAGTCAGTGACTCCGCATCTCCCGTGACGACAAATACTCCAACCCAGGTACCACTTTCCTTACTGTTATCCTGAAAGAGAGAGAATGTCTTGTTCTTTGTTTCCTGCGTCAAAGCAATACACGTCACCGGAAGAAACGTAACAGTATGGAAAATAAGATGGCCCTGTTGTATTCTCATACTTGCCGTACCCCGTGTTCCATCCATGTGTTGTTAGACACTTGTACGAATGACCAGGTACGGAAATGGACTCAGATGATTCTGTTAGGCAGAAAGCTGTTCCTTGCCCTCCCTTCCAGGAAGGTGACAGGGATTCCTACTCAGTGCATCTTCCCCACACGTAGGTTGAACCATTGCTTCAGACCTTGCACACTGGCTGTTAAATTGTCTCATCTGGCCTCTTGATTTTGGTTAGATTGAATTCATAAGTTCATCGAGGATTTACTGGGCACCTATAATCAGGTCCCAGATTACACTGGGACCTGAGAACCTAGTGCATGCAAAAGAATCTTCATGTTTTGACATTTGAATTTCACAGTGTTTATGTCTTTAATGGGTATCATTGTTTCCTTTTTTCTTATTAGAACGCCTGTGCTTCACATAATTGGTGGTTTTTCTTTCTGAAATTGTCTTTGTCTTTCTGAAAATTTAATATTTAGTTATTTTTTAAAGTCTAAAATACTTTGTAGGATTGGTCAGGTTCAGTAGAAAATCATTTCTTGAAGCATTGCTCTTCTCACTCCTTGGGCGGCAGTCATGCATATACGCACACGTGCAGAGTGCTCGGTACCGCTCAGGGGCGCTGCTGACACCGGCTGGCTGGGGCTGCACTGGGTTCCTGCATTTGAGAGGCATCTCCGTGGGTAGGTTCACAGGGGCAAGTACAGGCTGCTGGTAGGTCACTCCCTTTGCACGGTTCACAGTCCTGAGCAGCCAATCTCAGCTCTGCCAGAGCCTGGCTTGGAGGACAAGGGTCAGCCAGCAGCCTGCAGTCTGAGGTCCCTGCAGCAGAAAGGGGGAGAGTGCGGGACAGCCCTCCCTTCGGTATACTCACAAATGCAATGCAGTTTCTAAAAGAGAGCTTCAAAGCATGTTGAATATGCAAGTGAGTATTGACGAGGAACATGTCTGGCTTTCCCCTGGGGTGTCCTCTGCTGCGCTCTGCAGGGTCAGGTTGGCAGCCTTCTTCTCAGCATCAGTGACATCTCATATCAGCCATGGTCCCCTTGCAAGTGATATGAGCCCTCTGCCCTGTATGGCTTCTGCTAGTAGGACTTGTTGGTTTTTTTTTCCATTTTGGTCCTATTCTGTTTTGGAGCCTCTCTTAGAAGTTCTGAGGGACTCCTCCTGGTCTTGGTGCTCAGGAAACCCACCTGGCAGTGCCCAGGGGACCATTCGGTGGCAGGTCGAAGCAAGGTTCTGCCTGCAAAGGGCACACATGGCCTTCTGAGCCCCCCCAGGCTGCTGTGCTGCAGACGTTTCTCACTTCGCTCCTGAAACTTGCTTTTCAGCTCTGTTTCTAAGTGAGAAACTACATGGAGTCTATTCCACCCAAAGGCCAACAGCTCAAAATTCCCCAAAGGAAGAAAGAAGAACAGTGTTTCTAGAGAAGAATTGGTCTATTTATTGCCGACAGAATACACACCTTGGGTTATTCTCAAACTTAAATAATAGCTTTTGGGGGGGCTGGTTGGCTGGTTTGCTTTTGGGGGCCATTCCTGGCAGTGCTCAGAGCTTACTCCTGGCTCTGTGCTTAACAGAGTTTCCTGGCACGGCTCAGGGGACTAAGTGTTGTGCCAGGGACAGAACTCAGGCCGGCCGTGTAAAAGGCAAGCGCCTTCCCTGCTGTAGAGTTTCTCCAGGCCCTTGGGTGTTAGTTTTTGCAGCATGCTGCCTTGTTGTCCCTTCTGGGCAGACCTCACTGTGACTCTGCAGACAGACGACTGCTGTCCCGCTGTAAAAAAACTGAAAATCGCCACACTAGAGAACAGACACCTGTGATTTCTTCCTGGTCAGAGCTGGTGAGGTGTTAACGGGAATCAAACCTGGGTTGCATGTGAGCCCCAAGTTCTGTGCTATCTCCCGCCTCTTCATTTTTACTCATTAAAAAGAAAACTCAGACTAAGAGCTTGAAAGTGGACTAGTGATCCTCAAAATGCCTAAAGTGAGGGACTTTTTTTTTCTTTTTCAATTTCTAATGCACTGTGGCTTATTCCTCTTGTAAAACACAATAAAAAGTAGCAGGATGGCACACATTTCACTAAAATGCTGAACTATCAGTCATGACAAAATGCAGCCCAGCCCAGATGCATCTCAATGGTCTAGCACATGCTTAGGTTTGTAAGGCCTGGGCTCGAACCCTGACACACGCATACTCAAAAAGTGTTTCTAACATAGGATCTCTAGGTAAGAAGCAGATTTTCCAGGCACTCTCCTGCAGTCCCAGTGCTAACACGCTTGCAGTGTGGATGCTGTAATACACCACGTGTCCTTGAAAACACAGCTTTGAACAGTGGAACATTTTTGAAATGCATATTTCTGTGTGGTGTGTGAAAGACTGCTTAGCCTGAGGCATGTCTTGTCAATTCTGATCGAAGAACAGCTGGAAAGGAATTTGCCAAAATATTAACAGAACACACATCACATATTGGAGCCCGATTTATTTTATGTTTAAGCAACTGTTAGGGGAAAGCTGTAGAAAAATTAAAACGGAGCTAACCATGTGTGGGACCAGGAGACTTGGGTGCTTTTAATCTGAAAGTTTCCTCAGTGTTTTCTTAAGCCCCTTAGTCATTTATTGTAAGCTCAGATGATGTTAGTGGAAAGTCTGTCCTGACAGGGTCTCTGTCTCTGGATTTTGGGTCTCTCTGTGAGGAGAAAGCCTCAGCTGAAAGCGCAGTGGTGATCAGTCACTGTGTATTTTCCAGAAGACAAACAAGAGAATTTGAGAGAACAAAGTTAACAGGCATGGTCTCGTGGGTGAGAAACCTCTGCTTCCCAATGAGGACTTGTATCCCAGTATGTGCTGTATCTCTTAGTGCAGCTATGGGAGGGATGTACACAGATCCTGGGTGTCTGTTGGATAATCAGGCTGGTGACACACCCACTGTGCCACTGGACAAATCCACTTTGGGTTCAACTTCTTGTAAAAATTAAATGCTTTAAAAAATGTAACAGAAGTTTTAAATGTATAATTTCCATAAACAAGTGGTTGATGCTAGATAATGCAGCATGCCAAAGCTAAAATTTTACATAGAGCGTCCATCTATAATTATACAATGAATGTTTCTGATTTGTCTTTAACTCACTTTGTTTGTGTGGTGATTGAAATTTGAAAATATATCTAAAAAAATAATTGCATTATATTCTTATACTGTCGTCTTAAACCTGTGACCCCCCCCCAAAAAAAAGCTTTGTTTTAAAATGCCTCAGTTCTTTCCCTGTGGATTATATAAAGAAATTCTAACGTAAAAAAACAAATCTTATAGAGAACGAGAACAATCATTGGACGTACACAAACGTGGTATCTTTTCAGAAGAAGCTGGGGATGAGCTTGGCAGCACAGCACTTGTCTCGCCTGGGAGACCCCAGGTTCCATTCCCAGTGCTGAGGGAAAACAAAGTGACCACAACTGAAGCATAAGCAGAAGGAACACGTGCAGTATGAAACATGAATCAGCTCTGACGTTTGTCCTTTTCTCATCTGTAGCATTTACTAGAGCATTCACTAATAAGAGAAAAGGCCTTCTTAGTGCAATTTGAAAGCATAAATGTGCATCCTAAAACAATTTTTTCTGACATTTTCTTTCATGGTAGCAGGTATTAGAACAGGTGATCATTCGATTTAAACTTGTCATGGAAACAGATTGAATCCAGGAAAAACACTTTGCAACTCTTTGTTTCTTTGGGGGGGAAAGATACTGAATCATTTTGAGTCTTAATTTCGTGCTTTAGGGTGCAGTTTATTCTGGGCAGGAGGGCTTGGGTCACGCTGCTCTGGCCCACTGGAGCAATTCAGAGGCATAGCAGGACTTGGAGCAGGACAGCCATAGCACCCAGGCCTGGTACCACCTGGGCTCCCTGACAGCCCCTGAGCACTGCAGTGCTGGTCCAGCCTCCAGCCCCAGCACTAGACCAGACTGGGTGGCCAAGTTTTGCCAAAGTGGCCCCCTGCCCCTCTAAGCAATGCACGTAGGCTCCCCCAAAAAAAGTTAAATAAAAATAAGCATATTTAAAGCAGTCCTTTAACATGATAATATCTTGTTCATTTAGTAAACTATAGAACAAAGTGTGTCTCCAATGGTTTGGACATTTTTTCTACCCTGTGTAGATCATTGTCATTTCTGAATGAGTCAGTATTCAGATTCTTTTGTTGATTCTAGCTACAAGGATCCTGACATTGAGATCTGATCTAAGAATTTTTTTTGCTGTTGCTGTTGTTGTTATTATTCTGTTTCTGTTTGGGGGGCTCAGGGTTTACTCCTGGCTCTGCACTCAGAAGTTACTCCTGGCAGTGCTTGGGGGACCCTATGGGGTGCTGGGGATCAAACCTGGGTCAGCCACATGCAAGGCAGATGCCCGCCCCGCTGGACTATCGCTTCGGTCCTTCTCGTTGTTTTCTTTGTAAAACACAGTAAAAAGGCTGGTAAATTACAAAGGAGAGTTTGCATATTTCTCCTTTTAAAGCAATCTCTGTCTTCCATATCTTAGTTGTGATATGTCGAAGTTTGTGGATTTCAGGGTGACGGTCACATAAATACCAACATAACAGAACCGGGAGCTACAGAGGTGTCAAGCACAACATTTCATGTCAAGTTGTGTCTTTATTGGGGGGAAGCAGGGCAGGTGGGGCCATACCCAGCAGATCCTGGAGGACGAAAGAGGCAGGACTTGAACCTGGTGCTTCACCATCAAAACACACACCCCCCCCCCCCGCCCTTGTAGCCACTTCCCCATCCCTGCTTCCATACAGGTCACGTTACTTGGGCCAGGAACTCGGGCTGCGGGATCACGGAGTCCTTTCATTTCTGGAAGTGCAGAAGAAGTTGAGTGCCGGCATCTTTTAAGTCATACCTTTTAGTGGTGTCAGAGAGATAGCACAGCAGGGAGGGTGCTTGTGTTGCACACAGCTGACCTGGATTCGATCCACAGCACCCCATGTGGTTCCTCCGAGCACTACAAGGATTGATCCTGAGCACAGAGCCAGGAGTAAGTCCTGAGCACGTCTGGGTGGGGCCCAGAATCTCCCCTCCCCCCAAAAAGTCATCTTTTACATTGTGTATGCTTTTATTACTAATCTTGGTATTGTTGATACTTTTACTACTATAGTTGAAGTCAAGGGAAAAACAAAAAGTTTATGGAGAAAGCTGACACGGTGAGCAACATCAATCACATGCTCACACACCCTAAGAGTCAGTCATGCGCTCTAGGTGTGTACCCTAGGAATCAGTCACGCACTCACACTAGGAGTCAGTCACACACTCACGCACACTAGGAGTCAGTCACGTGCTCACACACACTAGTCTTGGCTGGGCTTACAGTGGAATCCTGTTCATCCTTTAAACAACTATCTACTCGGGGTCTTGGATGCACCAAGCTTCCAGCTGCTTGCTGCTCATCGCCCTGGGAGTCCTCAGGTCATTTATTTTAGGGAGGGAAAATGGACTTTGCTATTTTTAAACCCAAATCTTCAACCCAAGAACTGATTTTTATTTTTGTGATGAACTTGACAGTTGTTCAGGGAAGTAGAAGCGATCAGGCCTTCAAGGCTGGAAGTCACGCAGCCAAGTGGTGATCAATGTGCTGTGCTGATTTCTTATAATAGCCATCTCCTTCCAGTGCAAGTCCAGGCCTTAACATTACCCTGAACCGTCTCTCCAGCCACTCCTGCTAAGTGACGACTTCAGACCTCCTGCTAGTGAGACTCAATAAAAAACTTACAAGAGCCTCCCGCTGCTTCCTTTGTGAGGCTGAGTAACTGCTTATTTTGGCCTCGGTAACAAATGAGCTTCTTGCTTTATTGGGTGGAGGGGGTACGAGATTAATGAAATAGGTCAGTCATCCTAGAACATCTTCCCAGATTCTGGCCTGTCATAAGAAATGGGGCAGCAACAGTGACCAAGGGTCAGGCCAGACAAGCAGATAGAAGCTGTGTTGGGCACAGGCTGGGCTTCCTGGCAGGTGCTGTCTGGCCACGGAGCTGCAAAGCCTCACTCAGCACTGCAGTGAGACTAAACCTCATGTTTGAATTCTTGGGGGTGTGGGGGAACCCCACACAGCCAGAAAACCTTCAGAAGAACTTGTAGCCCACAAGTTGCTTTTGATCATTTATATAAGGCTCTTGAAGTTCTATTCCACCTCCTCACACACATACACATGGAGAAGGGCAGTTTGAGCATATCGCTAAGAAAACACTCACGTTTACTCTCTTGCCTTAGTTATGCTAAGCCTTTCCCGACTGCTGCAGCAGTGACAAGTGTTTGTCTTCACTAAGGGCAAAGCATGGGCATTCCACCATCTGGTCCCGGACCTAATCATGTATTTTTCTGTTGTCATCCCGTGCCTTTACTGTGATTGTCATGGCTTCACAGACCTGTTCCCTTTCTGCCTCTCCTGCCAGTTTACTTCCGTGTCCCCGTCAGTTCCTGAATTCTTGAAAACTCCTGCTGTGGATCAGGCCCCAACCAGGTCCCCCGCGCCCGTGCTCCCCGCCAGCACCGTGTCCTCCACCAAGCCCGGGCCAGCACTGGTCAAGGTGGGTACCCGCCATGCACTGCACATGAGACCCGCAGATGCCCTGCAGAGCCCGCCAAGGAAGAGCTGGCAGCAGCGCCCCACCCCCCACCCCCCGCACTGTGGCCCCTGCGTTAGAGGGTCCTGAGGCTTCTACCCGCGGGGGGACCACTGGGATGCAGGCTGGGGTGGGAGTAGCAGAGCCCTGAGAGGGCTCACAGGCCACAAGGTCACAAGGCCAGACTCACGGGTATCCCAGATGTATGACACGACAGGTCAAAGGTTCCAGACAGGCAAGAACAGTCTTTTTGATTTAGCGGATTTGGCCCAGTGAAGTTTGGTTTGTTCTCGAGATAAGCCGCAGACTCGTGGCACTGTTCCCTACACGATACTCGATCAAAATAAGTCATTAAGAATAAGTTCCCCCAGGAAGTAAAGGTCCTTAAAATATTATTTAATATATGGTACATTTTTTTAAGTTTCTTTTTAAGTATATTTAGAACTACAAAGCAGAGCAGAGGGGAGCTGAACCACATTTCAACTGTGACTTTTGCCGACATGAGCGGAATGCAGGTCTGAAATTTTTTTAAACTAAAAAAGGACATTAGAGCGCGCTCTGGCCATTCAGCTGCGGAGCCTGAGGCCCAAAGAAACGAGGCAGTGAGGGGCTAGGCAGGACCCCCGCCTGCCCCCCGCCCTGTGACAGCCGGCCTCGCCCCCTCACAGGGCCGGGCCTTTCCAGAGAGAAGCTCTTTCTGCTCATGACTCTCCATGTGGCCTGGCCCTTGGCGCCTTGCCCTCGCGGCAGAGTGTCTGTGGATTCCCACCTCCTGGACCGGAGCCGTGGCAGTCAGCCTTCCCCGCCGAGGGTGTGATGTGGGGCCCTCGATCCCTGCAGATGGGCTGGGGGGCTCCTCTGCCTCTCATGCTCTCACTGAAGTTTCTCAAGGGGCCACATGTGCAGCCCCTGTAAATGGGGACTGTGGCCTGGAGGTGGGGGTAGGGGCAGGAGAAGGGTCGGAAGGGAGCCAGGAGGCAGGAGAGGCTGAGACACACTCTGGGCGTCTGCGCCCCCCCCGGGTCTCCGTCAGACACGTTATTCTAGGACAGTCTCTGCAGGCAGGCAGGGGAAATCCAGGCCGGCCACTGCCCCAGCACTGTGGGCCAGATCCAGGCTGGCACTAGCATGCTCCTTCTCGCTCTAACGGGGAAGAACTGAGTCCCAGAATGCTGGGCCTGATGTGTCCTGATGTGTCCCCTCCTTCCTGACTGAGACCGAGCCAGTTGCTTCCTCAATCCTGCCAAAAGCCAAACCTCCTTCACCCAACCTAGTTCCTTGTGCCGGTTTGGAAAGACACGAGATAAAGTCTATTACAGAAACCAAATAACCCACGGACAGCGAATTAGTGGGAACCATAAAGGGGATTTTGGAATTTTTCTTTGACTGTTGTGATGTGTCCTAAGAATTGGTTGGTATTTCATTACCAGGTACCTGCGTGCCTTCCTGTGGGCACAAGTACCAGGCACTGGACGGGGTCCCAGGGAAGACACAGCAGCCCCACCCCAGCCCCCTAACAGACAGACAGTGTAGTGTGTACCGGGAGGAGCGTCAGCTGGGAGCGGGGCTGGAGCATTGCCGGAGCGTGCTTGGAGGCTGTGGAGAGCAGATGAGAGCCAGGCAGGAGGAGCTTGGGGCTGCGGGAAGACAGCCGGGCGTCTCCTCTGGCCGAGCAGCACCCCCACAGCTGGGGATTTGGGGTAGTTCTATTCTCAACTTTGTTTCCAATTTGAGGGATTTGGGAAGCAGCTTCCTGGTTCTTGGAGCATCTACAACAGGACCACAAGGGCAAGTCTATTTAATTTAGTGCCAGGGGCTGGAGGTTGGCCCACTGCCAGCGGTGCTCAGGGACCCACGCAGTGCTGGGGACAGAAGCCGGGCCTCTCAATTGCAAACCAAGTGCTCCAACCGCAGACTTCACCTGCCCAGTGTTTTACCTAAAGCCAAGTTCAGAATAATTTTCTATACCATAGCTTGCTGATGAAGTCTTTGCAGATGAAATCATCATAAATATGAATATATGAATATAAAAAAGAAAGGGTTTGGTAACTTTTAAATGGAGTTCTTCACCAGAAGAGGGGATATCCCACTGCATTTTCTTTTTTCTTTTTTTTTTTTTTTTTTTTGTTAGTGAAACACCATGAGGTACTGTTGTAGACTTGCAAATTTTTGTGCTTGGGTTTCAATTATACAACGATCAAATACCCATCCCTCCACAGTGCTCATTTTCCACCACCATGGATCCCAGTATCCCCCCACCTCCCATATCCCCCATCCCACCCTGCTTCTGTGGCAGGGCATTCCCTTTTGTTCTCTCTCTCCTTTTGGGTGTTGTGGCTTGCAAAAGAGGCATTGAGTGGCAGTCATGTTCGGTCTATAGTCTGCTTTCAGCATGTTTCTCCCATCCTGGGAGGATCCTCCCAACACCCTTTATTTGGTCCTGCCTTTTCCCCTAGCATGTGCGGCTGGCCTCCAAGCCATGGAGTGAACCTCCTGGTACTTACCCACTGCATTTTCGAAATAAAAATGCCTTATTTTAAAATTATATAAAAATTCATATGATTCAGTTTTTCAGGGTCCCCCCAGAGATACAGAGCTTTAAATTTGGATTTTTCATTAAAACATTTTTCTATCTTTACATATTCCAATGGATTTTTTTTTAATGATCATATGCATTAGTAGTGAAACCTACTCAAGCTTTCCCGTACTGTCTACGCAGTGTATGGAGCATCTGCACAGGGGACCCGGGCAAATGTTCCTTGAATTTGAAATGCTGATCTAAATTAAAGGAACAGTGCAGCAGAAGAAAATAAGTTCTTAGCAGCAGGATTTCTTGGCTAAAGGGAATACATGGATGTTCCAATGAATTTAAGTGTGTTTAGAATATTGCTTTTCAAAAAATAATTTTTGTACATTGTTTTTTAAGATACTTTGAAATTTTCCCAAATGCCCGTTTCCGAGGTGCTGTGCATGCTAAGTTCCTATGCTGACACGCAGGAGAATAGCTTGCCTGTGGGAGCTGCCGTCACACTGTCCCCCTTCTCCTTTTCTCAAAAACAGCAAAGCCATCCCAAGAACCCGAACGATAAACACCGGAGCAAAAAGTGCAAAGACCCCAAGCCCCGGGTGAAGAAGCTCAAGTACCACCAGTACATCCCGCCCGACCAGAAAGGCGAGAAGCACGAGCCGCAGATGGACTCCAACTACGCCCGCCTGCTGCAGCAGCAGCAGCTCTTCCTGCAGCTGCAGATCCTGAGCCAGCAGCAGCAGCACTACAACTACCAGACCATCCTGCCCGCACCGCTCAAGTACGAGGACCGGGCCGGGGCGGGTGTGCGTGCGGCTTCACGCGGTCACCACCGTCGCTCCTGTCCCGGGGGTGCTGGTAGACTGACTGCGCTCAGTGATGGTTCCCCTTCCCCCCTCACCCAGGGCAGCAGTGCCCAGGCCAGCACAGTTAGGGCAGCCCGCGGCCGGTCATCCGGCCCTGGGTGGGGGCTCCAGAGAAGCCGCCGAGGTCCGAGCAGGGATGCCTTTTTTCAAGGAACCACTTGCCTGTTGTTGACTCAAGTGATGAGAGATGCTGAGAAAACTGTAAGCAGAAGATCTAGTGTAAAGAATCAGTTTGGTCTGATTTGGGTCATCAATGCTCAGGGCTCTGTGCTCACTCCTGGCAGGATGGATGGGGGCTTGGGGAGGACCTGTGGTGCCAGAGATGGAACCTGGCTTCATGCACAAAAGGTTTCCTACCCACTGTACTATCTGTCCAGCCCCCTGGTTAGGATCTTTAAGACATAAAAGTCTGAGAGTGCATGGATGGCCTGGGAAAGCTGCTGGGACAGGCTGGATATTCGTATGGGAACAGATAAGCAGCAGGGAACTGTGGAGAGCAAGTGCCGAGGAAGAAGTGAGCCTGTTTGTTGGTGATGAGGAAAATAGCTCAAACAGAGATCTGTTGTTTTTTTTGTTTCTGTTTTTGTTTTACCAATCTGGGAGACAAAACTCTACAGAAGCACCTGCAGGGGGGTGGAAGACTTTAGGATCTTCCTGTAGTAGATATTTCAGAGTTAGGTAAAATCAAAACAGGCAACTCCAACTGCAAGAAAATAGTTTGACACTGATACAGAAAGGAATCTGGAAGCAGGAGAACCAGTTTGGAACTTTGCAGGGATTTAGATGCAAGAAGATGAAAGATGCTGGGAAGTAAGTCTGTGCTGGTGTGCTGAGAGACAACAGGAAGTCTTGGAGACCAGCGACTGTGGAGAAGGAGCGTGGGGCCCAGTGTGAGCCCAGCCAGGAGGCAGAGGAGGGAGGAAGTGCATGACCAGCCCATCACAGCTCCTTTCCCTTGGGTTCCAAAGGAAACTGCTACTGATAGAGCAAAGATAAAAACACAGAGACCCTGTTTTTTCATATTTCCCTCACTTTTCAAGAGAATTATTCATCTCCAGAAGAGCAACTGCTAGGGCCAGAGAGATAGTAGAATGGGTAGGGTATTTGCCTTGCATGAGGTGGACCCAGGCTCGATCCCCAGCATCCGTGAGTACCTGCAGGAGTAATTCCTGAGCGCAGAGTTAGGAGTGACCCCTGAGCATCACCAGGTGTGACCCAAAAACCCAAAAGAAAATGCCAGCAAAATCTCATAAGGAAGAACCATTCTATTATCATCTACTCAGTTTATGATAACATGATCAAGAAAAACTTTTTAACATTTTCTACACATAAACTAGCCACCCCTCTTTGGGAAATAAGAAGAAGGGCCTTCCTTCCGAAGGAATCTGTTAGGAGATTTTCCTCGTGTGATAATGATGATTAAATCCAAATACCTGCCAACTAGACACTAGTCATCGGGACTTTGCTGTGAAGTGCTGAAATCCCAGACATCGGGCAGAGATGAAGGGAGAGAGGACATTTGTAGCATGTTATTGTTTCGAGAGCAAGAGGCGGGTGAGCTGTTTATATTGGAAGGGACCCAGGGCGGGCCAGAGAGCGCTGGATGAGGATCAGAGACACGCTGCTTTATGGCCTGTCCAGAACCTCGGGAGCGTCCTTCAGGCCGCAGCCTCCGCTGGCAGCAGGCGCAGGGATGGCAGGAAGGCCTCTCATGTGCACCACCCAGTGCACTATCCGCCCTCCAGGAGCGGCCGGTGCTCCCGACCCTCTTCCCACACCAGGAGACCAAGGCATCGAAACAGTGCTCTGGTTCAGTTTCCCTGGGAAAGAGTCTGTCTGCAACTAAGACAGTGCGGTGTGCTCTCAGCCATGCAGGAGAGAAGACTACCAGGAGGGCTGGCGTGCCTAAGGGGGCACCTCCCTCTCCTGAAGCGTCCCCCCAGCTACCTGCCCACAGCAAACATCAGTCATGGGTCCAGAAGTGAGGAGGAGGAAGGATGCCACAGAGCAGGGGAAGATTAACCTAAGAAAAATGGAGATACCATTTTTGACCACACTCTTGTTTTTACCGGGATTGCAGTTGCAGATACTGACTAGGGAGTCCTGTACTGCCACATACTGCCACGTCTTTGCAGCGGGACCTGGTAACACAGCACAGAAGAGCGGGGCTGGTCCCAGTGAGGCCACTTCATCTCTCTGAACTTTGTTTTTGTTGTTTTCGGGTGATACCCAGCGATCCTCAGGGCTTACCCCTGGTTTTGTGCTCAGGAATCACTCCTGGTGGGGCTTGGGGAACCATGTGCGATGCCGGGGATCGGACCCAGGCTGGCCGCATGAAAGCAAGGGCCCTGCCCACTGTCTCTCTCCATCCCATCTCTCCAAACTTGAGGTTTCTCATCCACACAGTGACCCCTGCCAAAAGGCCTGCAACACACACATTTCCCCCCCTCTGTTGGTTTTTTTGGGAAATACAGATCATCTTTTTTTTGTTGTTATTTTAGGGGTTCGGTTATACACTGAACCATTAATCGTGGAAATGAATATTACAGAATCCCAAGCAAAAAAAAAGCATAAATAGAGAAATTAATTTGACTTGTGTCTTGTGAAGGAAATGTCAAAGTTTCACAAGCTTTTTAGTAAAGCCCCTCAAATCACCTAGTCCATGATGGTGCAGCATACCACTATAGCACTGTTCTCTCATTGTTCATCAGTTTGCTCGAGCAGGCCCAGTAATGTCTCCATTGCGAGACTTATTGTTACTGTGTTTGGCATATCGAATATGTCACGGGTAGCTTGCGAGGCTTTGCCATGCGGGCGAGATACTCTCGGTAGCTTGCCGGGCTCTCCAAGAGGGTCGGAGGAATTGAACCCAGATCAGCCAGCCTGACCGCATACAAGGCTAACACCCTACCACTGTGCTATCGCTCCAGCCCAGCATAGCTGTGGTATTAAAATTTCATGGGGAGCATGAGTAGGGAAAAAAATGTTAAAAGGCTTCTTGGGAGACAATAATAAAAATTCATGTTGAGAAACTCTTTTTAATAGGGTATAATACTTTAAAGTATGTCATCTAGGGGGCTGGAGCAATAGCACAGCGGGTAGGGTGTTTGCCTTGCACGCAGCCGACCCAGGTTCGATTCCCAGCATCCCATTTGGTCCCCCGAGCACCGCCAGGAGTGATTCCTGAGTGCAAAGCCAGGAGTAACCCTTGAGCATTGCCGGGTGTGACCCAAAAAAAAAAGTATGTCATATAAACTGCTTCATCTCTAATACTTCAAGAATAATACCTTCTAATACTTAAGGAGGTTTTAAAAAAAAGACCCAAAATGAATGTCAGAAGTTAGCTTTGAAGGGCCGGAAATTGGCTTTAGAGGGTCAGAGTGATAGTTCAGCAGGCAGGGCACTTGCCTTGCATGCAGCCAATAATTCACTCCCTGGCACCGCACATGTCCCTGGAGCACCACCAGGACTGATTCTTGAGTGCAGAGCCAGGAGGAACCCCTGAGTGTCGCTGGGCATGGCCCAAAAGATAGGCTTCCTAAAACTCGTCAGAAAACATGGTTCTGCATCACCCCCCACCCTCCCCCCACACACACACACCTGAAAGATCTCAGTGTAGAGTGTGGAAGCGAGAGTTCCTGGCCCAGGCCATATACACCATCTGTATGGAAGGCCTGAGTCACAGTGACGCTCTGTCTGCATAGCGCCTTCAGCCCCAGCGCCTCTTTCATGGCTTTGGTCAGTCACCCAAATGGAACCACTGAAAATGGGCTATCACAGGTGGAATGAGCAGTGGGTCCAGCTCTGACATGGAGAAGGGGGTGTGTGAAAAGTATTTGAAAAGGTCCCCAACTTGGGGCTGGAGTGATAGCACAGCGGGTAGGGTGTTTACCTTGCACGCAGCCGACCCGGGTTCGATTCCCAGCATCCCATGTGGTCCCCAGAGCACTGCCAGGAGTAATTCCTAAGTGCATGAGCCAGGAATAACCCCAGTGCATTGCCGGGTGTGACCCAAAAAGCAAAAAAAAAAAAAGGTCCCCAACTTTAAAACTTGGCAACTGCTTCGCCAATCTTTTAGAGTAATTTTTAAATGAAGTATAACTTACTGAGAAGTCTTAAATCACAAGTGAAAATGGCAAAGCACACACACCGTCACCCTGAGTCAAGAACTGGAAGGGGGCTGGAGAGTACAGTGGGCAGGTGCCTGCCTTGCACGTGGCCGGCCCAGGCCCAGTATGCCCCCCTGAGCCTGCCAGGAGTGATCCCTGCATGCAGAGCAAGAAACAAGCCCTGAGTACCATCGTGTGTGGCCCAAAACACAGAAGTAACAAGCCGGGTCAGCACAGTACAGGCCTTACCCCAGGCCACGGCTGCGCTTCTCTGTTTGACATCACCTAGCTGGGTACTGTCCTCAGTCCTTGGTGCAGGCACTTGCATGTATCACCAGTCGCAGTCCCTGCGGGCGGTGGCAGCTTTCTGGTGGGTATGCTCAGAGCAATATTGAGTCAGAGTGGGAACCTGCATCTCTGGGCCCGTGTGGAGTGTGTGTGTGTGTGTGTGTGTGTGTGTGTGTGTGTGTGTGTGTGTATGTGTGTGTGTGTGGTGGAAGCCAAGGAAGGTGACTGCTATGCCAGTGCCTGGGGCTCAGTCTGGTCTCTGTGGCCATCAGAGTTCTGGGAGTGACAGCAGGACAGCAGGGCCTCTCCAGGTCCTTTCTCCTCCGATGTCGGGTAAGCACATGTGTGCATGCACATGTGTGTATGTGGGTCAGCCTCAACGGGATATGCTGCCTCTTTTTTTAATCTGATTTGTAAGACATTCTATACGTGTCAGCCTTTGTCCAGAATATGTCAGTTAAGTATTGTCCCTGGCTTGACTTTTCACTCTCTTAGTGAAAGTTAGTGCTTTTGTGTCCTGTGTAAGAAAGTTTCCAAAGGCTGTTTTCTAAAATTTTCTAAAATAACCTTTCCAAAGGTTATTTTCTAAAATTGTTTCTGTAATTGTTTGGGGGAACAATGTGAGCCATAGGGGACGATCAAGAACTTTTTCTGTATGGTATTTTCAGTTTGGCCCAGTGCTGTTTGCAGAAAGATGTCACATTTATTGGTGGTGGTACCCAGGATAAACCCAGGCTTCCATAGGGGTCACCTTAGGTGATGCAGGGGATAATTCTGGGAGCTCTAGTTGCTCTCTTGCTTGTCTTTCTGTTCTTTCACCAAAAGCATGGCATCTGAATGAATCTGCTTTGTAAGGAACTTGGGTATCTGCTCCTGAGTCCTCCAGGCTTGTTTTTTGGCTCAGAAGATGCCAAAGTCATCCTTGGTCCTTTGCATTTGCATATGGGTTCAGAATCACCTTCTACTTTCAGCTTCTTCTACATTCAGCCAAGCAAACAAACAGAATCCACAGAGACTTTTATTAGGGTCTAATTTGGTTAGCTTCTAAAGCTGAATGTTCCAATCTATAGCCTTGGTGTTTTTCTCGTCCCAAGTTCACAGATTGTTAGTAGAAATGCAGTCAGGGCCAAGAATGATTAGGTTATAAACTCTGGTTTTCTTTTTAAGGCCACTCAGTGACAAGAACAACAACAGTGGGAATTCAGCTCTGACCAATACCATACCCAACACACCAAGGCAGACAACACCTGCTCCCGGGAGAAAGCCAGGAACGCTGCCCTCGAGCCTGGATGACTTAAAGGTGATGAACCCAAGTGGGGTTTATTACCCCTTCATGCCATACCTGACATGACTTCCCAACCTGTCCAGCACATGTCGATCATTTAACATGGACATTTGCCCCTAGCAGTGACCCAACTGCCTTCCAGGAGGGCATCCTTTTCACACCTGTTATTCCGCTTTTAATTTTTGCTTATTCAGCTTATACCCCATGGAGGCAGCGTGCTCCAGAAGCTGATTCATGTTCTTTCCTGCTCAGGGCCAAGTTTGGGCAGAGCAGGAAAAGGAAAGGGCTGAGGGCATATGATCTCCAGGGTCAGGCCCTTGGATTTCTCTTGCTTCTAGCAGCTTGATCTATAGATTCAGTCTCTGCCTTGGTTTCATCGGTAAGGTGTAATGAGATCAATACCCCCTCACGTGTTGATAACCAAAAGAATAAAACACATCATTGTCACTGTAATTAATCAGTGAAAAAACAAACAAACAGAATTCACAGAGACTTTTATTAGGGTCTAATTTGGTTAGCTTCTAAAGCTGAATCTTCCAATCTTCCAATCTATGTGATCCCTCCTAGTAAGAAATTCCTTAGACATCCAGAGGAATTACCCTGTAAAAACCGTTCCTTACTGGTCTCTGCTTCTCCTGGTCTGTAGCTATGAGTCAACACGCACTAGGACAGAAACCCTAGTACAGAGTGACAGGCACATCCCCCTTTCCCAGACAGGGCGCATACAGTCAGGAAGGCGTGACCCCAAGTGGAGACATCTGATGTGTTTATACTTCCAGGTATCAGAACTGAAGACAGAACTGAAGCTGAGGGGCCTTCCAGTGTCAGGCAGCAAACCAGACCTCATTGAGCGCCTGAAATCCTACCAGGAAATGAACAGCAGCAGTGCAGCCGGGGGCATTGTGGCTGTGTCCACGTCCACCATAGTTACCAGCACCCCGGAAGTCTCCGGGGCACTGCCGGTGACAACACTCCACAATGTGGGGACTGCTGCGGGCTCCACCTTCAAAGCAGAGCTGCCCTCCAGGGGAGCTGGCAGCGCCACCCACGTGGACAGCATCCACTCCCCACTGCCCATCTCACCTTCCCCCTCAGAACAGTCCAGCCTCAGCACCGAGGACACGAGCATGACCGACACGTTGACGGAGATCATGACCATGATGTCCCCATCGCAGTTCTTGTGTTCGTCTCCCCTGCGGGTGGCCAGTAACGAAGACAGCCTGAGCCCCACCAGCAGCACCCTGTCCAGCTTGGAGCTGGACGCGGCCGAGAAGGACCGCAAGCTCCAGGAGAAGGAGAAGCAGATCGAGGAGCTCAAGAGGAAACTGGAACAAGAGCAGAAGCTGGTGGAGGTTCTGAAAATGCAGCTCGAAGTTGAAAAGCGAGGGCAGCAGCAGCAGCGGCCCCCCGAGCCCCCGTCCAGCGCCCCAGCGAACCCCGACACCAAGTCCGAGCAGAAGCACAGCACTTCCCCCGTCAAAGACGAGACCCCCCTCCCTGACTGCTCCAGCTCCAGGCAGCCCGCCCTGGCAGCTGGCCACCCTGGGGCCCAGCCCCTCCCTGTGGCCGCCCAAACCCTCGTTGCCAAGAAGGTGGTCATCAAGCAGGAGGTGGCCCCGGCAGAGCAGCAGGGCGTCGTCCCCAAGTTCTATGTCAGTCCCCAGGGGCAGCCGCCACCTGCCCTAGTGGCTCCACCTCAAGCGTTACTGACCACACCGACGGCGCAGCTGCTGCTGCCAGTGTCCATCCAGGGCTCCAGCGTCACCTCTGTGCAGCTCCCTGTGGGCAGCCTCAAACTCCAGGTGCAATGCGTGTTCTCACTCTGCCTGCCCGGGTGCTCCCTGGGCGCTGGGGACATGACACGTGTCCCAGTCAGAGAGTTCAAAAGCGTGGAGTGGGGGCGAGGCACTGGACCCGCACCAGATACAGTCTGAGCTCAGAGGCATAAGTAACCCGTGTACAGTCGGGTGTGGACCCCCAAACAAGCAAAATGTCAGTTGTCTGGGGCTGGAGCAATAGCACAGCGGGTAAGGCGTTTGCCTTGCACGCGGCGGACCCGGGTTCGATTCCCAGCATCCCATATGGTCCCCCGAGCACCGCCAGGAGTAATTCCTGAGTGCAGAGCCAGGAGGAACCCCTGTGCAACTCCGGGTGTGACCCAAAAAGAAAAACAAAACAAAACAAACTACCTTGTTTCTGGGGCTGGGGTAGGGCATCCAGTGGGTAAAGCGTTTACCTTGCACACAGCCGACCCAGGTTCGATTCCCAGCATCCCATAGGGTCCCCCGAGCACCGCCAGGAGTAATTCCTAAGTGCAGAGCCAGGAGGAACCTCTGAGCATCGCCGGGTGAGACCCAAAAAGCGCACCCAAAAAAATGTCAGTTGTCTTACCAAAATGCTACTAGCTGGCTCTTGTTTTTCTGTTGTTTGAGGGGTGATAGGGGAACCATACCTGGTGGTGAGCAAGGCTGACTCCTGGCTGCTCGGGCAGTTTTCATGTAGCTACTCAGGTGTCTGCCTCTGCCCCGTTGCAGCTCAGCAGCTGAGGCCTCAAAAGGTCTGGAAAGCTGCCCTGGGACAGCCGGCACTACATTCAGGCTCCTGCTGCCAGAACGTGTTTTGCTGGGCCCCGCCCTTCACCTTTCTCCACCCAGTGTGGTTCTTGAGACACCACTGATGGGAAGACGCTTACGTTAAAGAGAGCGTGGCCACAGATCCAGGAGTGGATTCTCGAACAGAAGCGGGAAAAGCTCCACTGAGCTTTCAAGGAAAGAAAGTTTTTCTCCATTAGCACAGATACTACAGGCTCAGATAGGTGCCAGGGCCTGTGTGTGCTAAGTCTGCACACACACGCAGCTGCAGGCAGGGACGGGCAAGGGCAGGCCTACCCAGATGCGCTGCTGCTCTGGAAGCTATCGCACTGCCCAACGGAACTGGCTGGAGCTGGTAGGAAGCTTCTCCTTCGGTTTTCCAGCTTCCCCTCACTTGAGAAAGGAAAGGGCAGCCACGCGAGAAATGACAAGTGCGTGCAAGGACCTTCCATCGCCCTGGTTCAGATTCGTGAAGGCACAGACTGACGTGCCCGAGGCTTAGGGCATGTCTGAATATCCCTCTCCCTCTCAGACACACACCAAGTGGCCAGTCTGTACATGTCTCACTTTGTTGACAGTGACCTGTTTTTGCCCCCTAGACTCCACCACAAGCTGGGATCCAGCCGCAGCCGCAGCTGGCTACCACCACCTTGTCAACGGGCCTGTCACAGCCCGGACCGCAGAAGCAGGACACATTCACACCGCACGTGCTCACTCAGCCCCCACAGGTCCGAAAGGTGAGTGACAGGAGCCAGTGTCTAGGGCCCTACGGGCTTGTCAGTCGTCGCCTCAGTCAGCATGATGGGAGGTGCGGGTTATCTGGCTGTCTGGGAAAAAGGAAGCTCCCTGGCCTTTTCTTTTTTTTTTTTTTTTTTTTTTTTTTTTCCCTGGCCTTTTCTTAAAGGTTTAGAAAAAATGTTTCAAAAGGGGACTGGAGCAATAGTACTTTGGGGAGGGCGTTTGCCTTGCACACAGCTGAACCAATTCCATCCCTGGCCGGCATCCCATATGGTGCCCTGAGCCCCGCCAGAGTGATTCCCGAGGGTAGAGTCAGGAGTAACCCCCGAGCATCACGACATGTGGCCCGAAAACAAAAATGGTTTCCAGAGAATTTTTAGGGTCAGAAGTAGTAGAGCGAGTAGGGTACATTTTCCCTACACAGAGCCAACCCAGGTTCAATCCCCAGCATATTGTCCCCTGATCACTGCTACGTGTGGCACCAAAATGAAAAAAAAAAAAATTTCAAATTCAGAATTCATTTGGATTTCATACAAAGTTTAATAATGGAAGGCAAGAAGGAGGCAGTGCAGTTCCCTGGGAAAAACTTTTGGACCAGAGCAATAGCACAGTGTATAGGGCGCTTGTCTTGGTCACGACCAATGTAGTTCAACCCCCAGCATCCCACATCATCCCCTCTAAACTCCACCAGGGGGGGTTCCCGAGCGCCACTGGGAATGGCCCGGAAACCAACAATTAGAGAGGAGCTACAACCTACAACCTATGGAGACTGCTTGTGGTTCTGTGTGCTGGCCTTATGCACAGTTTGTGTGCTTTCTCTCCACATCCACAACCTCATTCTGCAAACGACTCCAGCGTCCTTTAAGTCCCTCCCAGGAGCCAGCAGCATTTCCTCCTGACCAGTAGATGGTGCAACATGCACACCCTGGCTGCAGACTCCTTACCCCAGCAACTGGTACCCAGATAATGAAGGGGGCACTGCTGCGACAGCTGGAGGGACAGTCAGCCTGCCTCCCTCCGGGTACAGTCCTGTTACCCCGCGCTCCCATGGGGTCTCTTCTGGGGGACTCAGTGCTCAGGAAGTCAGAGTTTGTATTACTTGACCTGGGCTCAGTAATGTTTCCGTGTAGTCACCAGCTGAGCAAAATGTCCAAATGTCAAACCTTTTCTGGCTTTAGGCAGACAACTCTAGATGGGCGACATGAACAACAAGAGGTTGCATCACTGCTGCCTGAGCGCACTCGCCATTCAGAGGTGGTCCTGCTGGTCTGAGCCTCGGCGTGCCTCTGAGTCTCGGGGGCAGCCGCCAGCTCCTGCTGGTCTAGGCTGCAGGGGCAGAGCATGAGAGAGTATTTTCTCCATTACAGGTTTTCACAAACTCGGCACCCAGCCCCGTGCTTTCCTACCAGTGCCCTCCTGCTCCCACGGCCCAGCAGCCCTTTGTCAATAAGACATGCAGCGGCATCCTCCCGCCCCGGAGTGCCGCACTTCCAACCCTGCAGAACGGGCCTCACATGCCCAAGAAGGTGAGCCATGACCAGGGAGGGACAGGCAGGACAGGTTCGTCAGCCAGTGTGTGCGTTTGGCCTCTCTGCATCCCAGGGAGGGCACAGAGCTCACATGCCCCCCTCCGGTCTCCCACAGCCCAGCTCACCCCCGCCGCCCCAGCAGTTCATCGTCCAGCACTCTCTGTTTGGGAGCCCGGTCCCCAAGACCAAGGATCCGCCCCGCTACGAGGAGGCCATCAAGCAGACGCGCAGTGCCCAGTCTTCCCTTCCAGAGGTAAGGCGGTGTCCAGTCACGCACTGGGCAGGGAGCAGGTCATCAGCACCAGCAGCAGGCATCCTGGGATGGTGCAGACCAGGCAGCTGCCTCCCATGCAGGAGGAAGGGAACTTGTCATCTGAATTCTTCTCTAGCTCCGGGCTGAGCGAGGTGCTCACCTGTGAGGAGGAACCGTCTATCAGAACCAGGTTACAACATTCACCAAAGAACCAAAACCAAAGTGTCGGTCTAGACCGTCTTCCCGAAGGTCCATGTGGAAGTGACCAGGGGAGTGCGGATACTGTCAGGGGGCAAAGGCTTAATGCCATGTTTAAGAAAACTGGAAGGAACTCATTCTTCTAGCCATGTTCTCCTCAGGACATGTAGTTCACCTGCTTGTCTTTGTTTCTTCATTTGATTTTCGGGCCCCACCGGGTGATGCTCAGGGGATCATGTGGGATGCCGGGGTTGAACCCAGGTTGGCCCTGTGCAGTGTAAATGCCCTTCCCGCTGACCTATTGCTCTAGCCTCCTGGTCTCTTCTTTGCTTATTTCCACTGTAAAGAAACCTATGTATACTCCTGAATACATACTTCTCTCTTTCTCCTCCCACCTTCCTAAATACATTTCAATCAAAATTATCTTGCAGACAGGAAGGGAGGAAATTGATGATTGAAACAGTCATCAGGACCCGAGCCTCAAGGGCAGGTGACCAAGTCTCATTTACTGATGTATATCATCCACGGTAGCCCACCACCGCCAACAGGAATCCTGCTGGTTGCTGGCCTCTGGTTCGTGCCTGTAGACTGGAGGGGCACCAGACTGCAAGAATCCCGAGATTCCTAATAGACAGGCGGCTCCGACTTCCAGTTTCACTGCTGGTGATGGGAGGCCCTGGCAACTCAGCCCTAGTCAGAGCCACAGAGGGCGTCAGTGGGTCCGTTGCTTCATGCCAGGGACCTGCTGAAAGCAGACACAAACACGGCCATGTTTCAGATCCGTAACTCCCAACGTGCAAGGGAGGCAGCTGATGGAATGTGAGAGAAGAAAATGTTTATAATGCGTGAAAGCCTACAGAATATAGATAATTATGAAAATTTGTCTTTAAAGAATGAAATGGAGGGTCAGCGAGAGGGTGCACAGGCCGACCCCATTCAATCCTGGGCAGCACATATGGTCAGTCCCCTGAGCACCACCAATGACCAGATTAATCAATAGAATCTAAGGTTGGGGGGGCAGGATGAACATGTTAAGGTACACCAAGGCTGTTTCATGTCCAGCGGTCCCACATGGCCTGGAGAGGCTGAGGTGGGGAAGAAGTGAGGGCTGAGTCTGTACAGCCTAGCTTGGTGATACCTGGTGAATAGCACTGTAGCACTGTCCTCCCATTGTTCATCAATTTGCGTGAGCAGGCACGTCTCCATTGTGAGACTTGTTGTCACTGTTTTTGGCATATCAACTACGTCACGGGGAGCTTGCCAGACGCTGCTGTGCGGGCGGGATACTCTCGGTAGCTTGCTGGGCTCTCCGAGAGGGACGGAGGAATCGAACCCGGGTCAGCCGCGTGCAAGGCAAGAGCCCTACACGTTGTGCTGTCGCTCCAGCATTAACTATCATTAATAGACAACTCACATGACTTTACTTGTGACCCTGCCAAATAATAGTTTACATCATATGCAATTTTTCATCTTGTTGCCTACGGATCTTTATTCTGATGAATTTGTATAAATGACTAAAAGTAGGCTGGAGCGATAGCACAACAGGTAGGGCGTTTGCCTTGCACGCGGCTAAAAGTAGTTTAATTCACGAACACATTTTTATATAGAAAAAAATATTCTAAGCCATATACATGCCTGATATACATGCTATATACATATATACATTCAGTTACTGAAGCCTCTGACCCAATTAGCTTATTTCTATAGTAAAAGCACAAATTTAACTCAATATTAACTCAGTGAACATCAGCCGATAAACAGAATGGGCCTAGTCAGTCGTAGCAGTCAAATTCTTGAAGCACTAGATGAGTGGGTGACTTTGCAGCAGCACTTCTGCAAGTTCTTTTGGGGGCCGGAAGGGTGGGTACAAGTAAGTCAGCACTTTGATGCTGGTGCTGCAGCTTACACTGAGCCTCAGCCAGGTGGGAGCTGCAGGTGGCAGTTCCACCCCTGCCACCACCACACCCTGGGTCCTCTCTGCACTACTTGTGAGACCCCACCCTCCCAAAAAGTAACAGTGTTTTATGGGGGGAAAGTGAAGGAACTGTCAACCCAGAATTCAACATATTTTCAAGTAAATAAAAATCACGATCACCATCATCCTGTTGTTCGTCAATTACCTCGAGCAGGCACCAGTAAGGTCTCCTTCTTCCTAGCCCTGAGATTTTAAAAGAGCCATTTCAATGCTCTTTCAGGGTTAGGAGAAAGACCCATCGTTGTTCCTGGTATTTGGCATATTGAATACGACACGGGAAGTTTGCCAGACTCTGCCGTGTGGGCGGGATACTTTCGGTAGCCTGCCGGGTTCTCCAAAGGAAAAATGAGATAATATGATGCCGCACGGCCGTAAATGCGGCCCGGGAGCTGGGTTTTATAGTCTCTGCATCTTGGCTGTTGATGGGACCAACCTGGCGCTGGCGGCAGCTGGTGGGTGTGACGCTTACCTACTGGAAGATGGGGGATCTGGGAAATAAAAATACAGATCTCGAATTACCTGTACCACAAGAAGTAACACTGTTCTGAAAGAATCTTCCCCAAATACACTGATCATAAAACTTGGGTTTACGGTGTTTACAGGGTTTTTATATTTTATATACAGTGCTGTATACTGCTCGAGGCCGAGTAGGGCATTTGCCTTGCAAGCGGCTGACGGGGCAACCTGGGTTCGATTCCTTTGCCCCTCTCAGAGAGCCCGGCAAGCTACCGAGAGTGTCTCGCCCCCACAGCAAAGCCTGGCAAGCTGCCGGTGACATATTCGATATGCCAATCACATTGACAAGTCTCACGATGGAGATGTTTTGGCTTATAGAATTGCTCTCCTGGGGTCATCTTAATCTCAGACTATAGTGCTCAGGCCGAATTAGACTTTCCTATCCCTAGCAGGGTCCTAATCTCATTGTTACTTTTGGATCATGACAACAGCTCTTAGCTTATAGTTAAGAACTGTGGCACTTTGGCCAGGCCCATCTTGATGCCAGGGTAGCACATAGCTTACCGCTTGCCCTGGTTCCATCCAGTCCCTCGTTCGGATCCTGCTTTGGGGGGCGCTAGGAAGTGAGGGCAACTGAGGCTTAAGTTGAGAAAGCAGATGCCCAGGAATGAATAATATTCGAAGCCAATTAAATCCCAAGTTACAAAAGCATAATATTAATTGTCTTCTTGTGTCTATTCAAAAGGATTGCCTTAAAGTAAACTATTCAAAAGACATTAGGAGAGGAGAAAGGCAATATTAACTTATAATACAGGTTCAGTGTCCTAGAAAGATCTGACCTTACAAATTAACAGAAACTGATTAGGGGGATAAGCTGATTAACTGTTTGGGGAAGAGAGCAGAGAGAAGTAGTTACAAAGAAACAAAAGAATGGGAGTGACTGGGATGGGTATGACCGATATGCTAAGCTACCTGAGGAAGGATAGATAAAGCAGCTGTGATGCATCCTTCCCAGTCTGAGAGGCCTCGTCAAGTGCAGCCAGAGATCATATGGGCCCCCCACACCCCAAACCTCCCTAACTTCTAACACTCCAGTACAGGGCTCAGACCCAGGTGTAAGGTCTCTGGTGCTCCCAGATTTGTGACAGGATGCTCACTCTGTCCCCCTCTCTCGTAGGTCCCCAACACGCACAGCCAGCAGATGGACGACCTCTTCGATATCCTCATTAAGAGTGGAGGTAGGTCTCCCAGTGCGCTTTACCCGAGGTTTCCTCTTGAGCTCAGTGCAGCTTTCGTCCCGGGAACCACCTTTCTCTCTCAATTGTTGACTTTATGACATTAAAACAACTCACTAAATTATGCCCGGAGATAGTACAGTGGGCAGGGCACTTGCCTTACACACATCCAACCTGGGTTCAATCCCCAACATCCCATATGTCCCCCAAGCCCAACTGGAGGAACCCATGAGCGCTGCTGGCCCAAGGAAAAGAAAAAAAAGGAGCCAGATATAAGTTCCAGATTGAAAAGCTTCAGAATCTGTTCTGAGTATATCACAGCGATGGAATTAAAAACATTCACAGTTTTGTAGCAACTGAGTTACCTAAGCTGTCACTACGAACTATTACAATTCAAATGCTATTTTGGATTTTTTTTTTCTTTTTAGGTCACACCTGGCAATGCACAGGGGTTACTCCTGGCTCTGTACTCAAGAATTACCCCTGGCAGTGCTCAGGGGACCATATAGGATGCTGGGAATCAAACCTGGGTCGGCCGCGTGCAAGGCAAATGCCCTACCCGCTGTGCTATTACTCCAGCCCCCCTATTTTGGAATATTTTATGACATTCTCAAAACTCCCCTGATGCAGGCTAGCTGTTTTGTGGTGCAGGGATGGGAACCCTGGGTCTCAGAGAGCCACGTTCCCTCTACCACTGAGTCACATCCCCTTATTCAGATTTTTAAAACACTTCTCCTTATCATCCACCACTTGATTTGAGATTATTATCCTTCGCCAGAATATTCTAGCTGACAGTGATGTGCAAAGCAAGTTTCTGCTGATAACCATGTTGACCTCACACCATAACTTACATTCATGGTGTCACTGTCACTGTCCTCCCATTGTTCATCAATTTGCTCGAGCAGGCCCAGTAACGTCTCCATTGTGACAATTGTTACTGTGTTTGGCACATCGAACACGTCACGGGCAGCTTGCCAGGCTCTGCTGTGCGGGCGAGATACTCTCGGTAGCTTGCTGGGCTCTCCGAGAGGGGCGGAGGAATCGAACTCGGGTCGGCCATGTTGGCCGCGTGTAAGGCAAACGCCCTACCCGCTGTGCTATCGCTCCAGCCCACATTCATGGTGTATCTACAGAAATGAGAATAGACATCCCAATCCTGAATTTAAAAATTAAAAAAATAAAAGGTTTTTCGGGGGACTGGAGAGATAAGATGAAGATGATGGGTAGGGCACTTTCCTTTCATAGAGTCAACCCTGGTTCGATCCCCATCATCCCTGAGAGCAAGGCTAGGTATAGACCATTTTTTTTTTTAAATAAAAGGCTTGTTGCCAAATCTGGGAATTAATGTGACAAAGTATCTAATAAGTATATTATTTCACCTTAGTATCTCACCCGCACAGCAAAGCCTGGCAAGCTCCCTGTGATGTGTTCCATATGCCAGACACAGTAACAAGTCTCACAATGGAGATGTTACTGGGCCTGCTCGAGCAAATCGGTGAACAACGGGAGGGCAGTGCTACGGTGCAGTGCAGCGCTATTGTACAAATACCAGAGATGGTGAGAACAGAGACAGTGGATTAAAAGCCTAGTTTTATAGCTCAGACTTTCAAAATCTCTGCAGAAATACAGCAACTGTCCATTCACTCACGAACCCAGTGTCGGTCCTTCCCATTCCCTACTAGAATATCCCAATGCTTTGATTATTAAGCCCGTCTTTCCTGGCATATAGATAAACCATCAGATGCTCCTAAGCACGAAGGGCATTTTTCTCCAATATCTGTCACTAACAGAGCAACACTGGGATCTACAACACTGTTCAATCGTTGATCTTTGGCAAAGAGTAATATGACTCGTGCTCAGGATATCTGTCAGAAGCAAGGTTAAAAAAAAGGTGAGCAAAAATTAAGCGATCCTGCCTCACTTTAAGCCTACAAGAGAGAGGATCAGATCTCTAACCTCACGGGTGTAAGGGGTTAAGATGCAGTAAGTAACCAGAAGCAATCAGATGTGTCCCCCTTTAAAATAACCATCGTTCAAAGGCTGTGGGTGGCACCCTGACCCGAGCCTTCCTGGCCCACAGACGGCTGCGGAGAGAGAAGCTGTGTGGGCTCATGGGGGCGCCACTAGCTCAGGCTGGTGACCAGAGCGTTCCCGACAGCCCCAGTGGGAGACAGAGTGACCGGCATGGTCTCATGGCCTCCCCACTCCTGTTGCCTTGCAGAGATCTCCCTCCCTGTCAAGGAGGAGCCTTCTCCTATCTCTAAGATGAGACCAGTGACCGCCAGCATCACCACCATGCCGGTCAACACCGTGGTGTCCCGGCCACCCCCCCAAGTCCAGATGGCACCCCCTGTCTCCTTAGAACACATGAGCAGCTTGTCTGCCAGCTTAGAGAACCAACTCGAAGCTTTCTTGGACGGCACTCTCCCACCAGCCAGTGACACAGCCCCACTGCCCAGCGGCAGCGAGGACAGGGAGACCTTCTCCCTCATTGAGGACCTCCACAGCGAGCTGCTGGCGCCCCCGGGAACGCTGGACCACTCTCACTCCCCCATGGAAACGTCGGAGGCCCAGTTCGCCGCCAGCACCCCCTGCCTCTCCCTGGACCTCTCTGATTCCAGCCTGGACAACATGGAGTGGCTGGACATCACCATGCCCAACTCGGCGTCAGGACTCACCCCACTCAGCGCCGCCGCCCCTAGCATGTTCTCTGCTGACTTTCTGGACCCCCAGGACCTGCCGCTGCCCTGGGACTAAGGTCGCAGTGTCTCGGGCCCAAGCTCCTGGAGGGTTTCAGAGACAGACCAGCAAGTGGCCAGAGTCGCAGCCCCGCATGGAGCCCTTCCGTCGCCGGCAGCAGCGCGGTGCGGGCCTACTGCAGGCTCTGGGTCTAAGAAGACTCATCCGTTTCTCCAGACTTTAGTGCAGAGCAGAAAGACCTGTGGATAGACACAGGGGAACGTGTGTGCGAGGAAGGCCCCGAGGAGTCCCGAGTGGCCCTAAGTCCCCCTGGGTCCTGAACACTGAGGCACACAGCTCGCTCAGAAGCCACGCTGCAGGCAGCCGCTCACTGACACTTGGTCAGTGGCCTGCAGTGTGCGCCGGCCACTCAGCCAAGGCTCCCGGCAGAAAACTTGTGGGTCCTTCAGAAAACTACATGATTTCTATGTTGTAGTTTGTTTTGTGAATTTTGGAATCTTACTTTAGATTTCCAAATTTTAATGAAAGCTCTTTCACCATAACCACCCAGTCCACTGTAAAAAGCCCAGGGATATCGAGAACACTGAAAATTCCAGCCCTGCCCTCGGCTGAGCCCAGCTCTAGTGTGTGCATTAGACCTTTGTCTGCTGCTGTGCGGCCTCAGCGGGGGGCGCGGGGGGTCGAGTCCGGTGATAACCTTGATCGTTCTAAGATACTTGAGCCACGTGTTTCTCTGTGTTAAAGACTTGCTGACGGACTTTCAGGTAACCAGTCCCATCTCAGAACCAAGGAAAGGCTTTAGCGCTAGGGGCTTTCTGACGGGGAGTACAGAAAGCCCTGTCTCAAGCTGGAGAGTGAAAAACTGGAGGTTTTCTTAATCATTTTTTATAGAGAGAGAGGGAAAAAAGCACATATTTGCGGAGTAGTTTCAGAATTTTCTAAAGTGCCAACTATCACAGCATTTCCAAAAATCTTCCAAGCTAGTCATTAAAATGTATTAGAAAATGTGGGTGAGAGACCTGAAAATTCCCCTGTGTGGGGTTCTTACTTGGCCCCTGCTCACCGTGACCCATGGCTGGGGTGGCGTTGCTGAGACTGTGTTTTACCTGATAGCTGACCAATTTTTTTGTCTCGCGTGTTGGTCTGGTTACACGTCCACAAGCTCCATCTTTCCTTAGTCACCCCTGAACACTGGAGCCCTCGCTTCACTGAAGTGTCCCAATGGCCCACAGGGCCCCTTCACTGCCAGCCCCCAAGAGAGCAGGTGTCTGGGCCTGCTGGGACCCTCGTTCCCTGCTTAGACTCTCAGTGTTGTCTCCTGTGGCTTCGTGGCAGCGGGGCTGTGTCCACAGCTCTGGCGCTGGCCTTTCTAGTGCACATGTGACTCAGGCATGGGTCCACCAGCAAAGCATGTCGGCAACAGCTGCATGCTACTGTGGAAAATTGTACAGCCAGGCCTTCCGGGCATGGGGCTTCTTGCTCGGACACTATATTTCCGTTTAATATGAGTATTTTTGTACTACTAAAGAGAGCCTATTGAAGTTTCCTGTTTAAACCTGCAGTGTGGCCCTCCACGAAACTGAGAGAGGGACATGGCGTGGCAGGCCCAGAGTGGGTCCCCATCTGCTCCCCAACACTGACTCAGGCTTCCTCTGCCCACTTCAGTCCCAGATTGCTGCGGAGCCCTGAGCCCTGAGGCGACAATCCCTTGTGCTGCCTGCCTATGGGCATTGGCAGGGAGCCCGTGGACCCCGTGGCCCATTCCCCAGATCCAGATCCACAAGCTTCCCCCCAGCATAGATTCTGAGCACTGGAGCAGAGGACCCCACATTATCCACACTCTGACTGGAAAGGCAGGGGACCGGGGACCACAGCTGCAAGTGCAGAGCCCAGCTGCGTTTCAGCTCATCTTCCAAATGGTTTCAGTCAGAACTGGAAAATCATCAGATTCTCTCTCTCTCGCTCGCTCGCTCTCTCACTCTCGCTCTCGCTCACTCGTTCTCTTTCCCTGGTTCAAATTTCGCTAACTGGCCCTTCCTGGGCTGCATTTTGTGAGTGACTCTGCTTGGCCATAAGCAGCCTTCAGTGCTCCCCCCACCTCCCTTTTCTTGCGGAATTTGAGGAAGTGCATCAATGCAAAAGAGTTCTGCCCGAAACCTTTGCGTTGCGGCCTCTAGTTCAGACAGCTGCACATGTTTACAGAGAGCCCTCCCCTCCCCGCAGACGCGTTGCTCTGTGAATCGTCCTTACAAAAGTCACGATTTTGCGGCTGCAGCATGGCAATCTCAGACCTCCCGGTGCTGCCCGAAAGCCCATCCGGTGGCATGGCAATGTCGACACAGCTGTCACGTTCAACAGAGCTTTGTGCCAACTGCTGAGACAAAGCTTTAACCGAGGTCACAGAACCACCCAGACTCCTGACCATTACCTCTTTTCAACATGCTGTAAAGAAATCTCCTCGTTTGGTAGGAGGCAGAAGCATTTAGGAAGAGTTTAATTTCTACCAAAAGTACTTAACCTCAAGTAACCAACAGTAATGCAAACTTGCTTTAAAAGGAACCAAAGGCATTGCCAAGTATTTGCCAAGAGAAGGCACTTTTTATTTAAAATTTGAGACAAATAAGATCTCAAAAAAATTAATCCCAAAAAGGTATTATCCATTTACGCTTATAATTTTCACAGAGATGTAGATATTTCTCTATTGTTTCTTTGTAAAATAGCATAGATTTGTTTTGTTGGTTTAAGAATAGTATTTAGTAGTAATGATATCCAGTTGTTTCTACGTACAAATTAGGGTTTTTTTTTGCTTGCAATATAAATGCAATGTGGCAGGTGTTTCTCTTCTTATTTTCATTCTCACATTATGTCTTAGCATCTCACTTTATGAAAAAAAGGAGAAAAATACCAATCTACAGAGCCCTGCTTACTAAAGCATTAGTTTAATTAAAAAAAATTATAGCAGTAGGGGTGAGGGTGGTCTGTTCCTGTATTGCCTTTATGTTGTTTTTTGAAAAGAAAACCATGATGCCTTTGTATTTGCTGTTTGCACCCCTGAAACCAATTCCATATCACGTCTGAATGCCATGCGTTTTGCACATGTACTGTACATAGGTAACGCATACTGTATTTTTATATGTGCGCACATTTATCATCAGATCTTTTGTACATAGTGGCAGTATTGTAGCTGATCGGGAAATGTTTGATATCAGCAATTTTGCATTTTTGTGTCTCGAATAAAAACCATTTTGATGTACTATGATGAGTCTTGCTATGGAGAGGAGAGTGGGTTCCCTGAGGTGGGGGCAGTTTGGGAGGAATTCCCGTGAGACAGAACAGAAACCGGCATAGCCCCAAATCATGTCTGCAAGGAAACCACGTGAATCACAAGTGAGCAGGCGTGTGTGCTGGCGGGAGGGCATTGGGGCTAACACAGAGACACAGTGAATGGACTCTGTCACCCCGAAATCCAGCTGAACCCTTAATTCAACTAGCCTACAAAAGCAGCTGTTTATGAAAAGAATCTTTGCAGCTCATACAAAACGGACTTCTGCGTCTTTCAGTAAAATGGGCCTTTACCGTCAGACAGCTGCAGGACCAGTACTACCCCCCCCACTCGGCCTTGGCAAAATAAACAGGCTGCCGTGCTGCCTGACTTGAGGACAGGACTGTCCCCCGGAGACAGAGCACAGGGCACCAGCCAGCTGCCGCACAGTCACTGCCCAGGGCCCCATGGACATGAACTGGGCAAGGAAATGGCGTCCCAGGAGCAGAGAAGGGACAGGAGTGAGCTGGGCACAGAGACTCGAGGGGGTGGCAGTGAGCAGGGCTGCAGCTCACCCACCTGAGAAGCGCCAGGAGACGGCCAGGCCCCTCAGAGCCCGGGAATGCTCACCCGGTGGTTTTCTCAGGGCAATGCAGAGCCTGAACGTCTTCCAGAGTGAAGGTGCATGCCAGAGCGCTTATGAACACAGCCGCTCCCCTGGGGCTCCCTCAGTTTCTCCATAGCCGATCCTGCACCCCAGTGGGGGGTCTGGTGACTCAGGGCCATCAAACTGTATCCCAGATGGAAAACACACATGCCCACCACTTCTGGGAAGCTGCCTCGGGGACTGGCTATGGGCACTGCCGCCCCAGGAACGGCTCCACCTTCACCAAGGGGCCAAGGGGCCGTCACCATAGCTCCATCGCATGCCAAGCAGGAGGCTGGCAGTGAGGTGGGGTCTCCAAGAGCTGCACCAGGCCCCTCCCCACAGGGCAGAGCGCAGGCCAAGCTACCGGGACAGTGTCTGTTGTGGCCATCCCAGTACTGTGTCTCAGTCCTCCTTAACCACGGCCCCTGCCAACCTCGGCTTCCTCCTGTGGCCCCTACCCAACTGGCTGACCCCCCAGTCTTCTGCCAGGGACCGCCAATGATGTGGTTTTCACCTGAGGCCCCCCAGAATCTCCTGGGGGTCACCACTTGAGAAACTGCCTGCAGAGAGATCCACAAAGTGGTCTGTCCAGCAGCCTTGCTCTCGCCAGTGGCATCAGTTTACCTGACCAGGACCTCACTGTGACTCGAGAGCAGAGCTCCAAAGAAACCTCTGAAAAGTGCGCCTGCTCCCCAAGTTCAGAGTGCACTGTGTCCTAGGGGTGCAGCCAGAGTCAGGCTCGCAGGAAGAGGCGCAGAGCACAGGTGCTCCTGCTGGGCCTCAGCAAATCACCCATGGAAAGGAAGCAGAGTGGGGACTTGATTCCTATTTCACAGGGTCACGCAGGGCCAGCCCTAGCCCCTAAACTCCCGCAACCTGCTGCTCTTGTCAACAAGCTCCTAACACCTCTAGTCTCAGATCCTCGATCACACACCAGCTGGCGGCCAACTCAGCTCATGGCACTCAGGAGCTCCAGCCGAAGTGCTCTCTGCAGCTGCCACAATCCCACACAGAGGGTAATGGCACCCATGGCCCAGCTCTGAGAGCGGCCCCGGCATCTGAGCAGCCACCCCACCCCACACACTGGACCCATGCATGCCCGTCAGGACAGGGGCTTGGAGGCCACCTGAACGCATCCCAAGCCTGGGTGATACAGAACAAGTTGTCCACCAAAGCCAGGTGCCGGGCAGTGCCCACCTGACTGGACTGTCTGATCTTCCCCCTGTGAAAGGCACTGCGGGCTCCGAGCAGCTCCCAGGCACACTGCAAACTGCCCATCTCCGTTTTAAGA